AACCCATAATATCCAAGAGATTCGTCCGGTGCGCTGTTAAAGATCAAAGGAACCCTATGGTTAGTATGTGAAGCCTTTGGTCATGTTAAAGCTAATACCTTGACTTTCAGTACAATGTTCATCATTCCTAAACTCGAATGTTGAATGTAAACAGACAGTCTTTCTCCGAAAAGTGATAAAGCTTCTGGAAGAAGTCCAATGAACCGTAAACCGAGTGATTTCCAATAATACAAAGATGCCAAATTACGAAAGATGTGCCTAACCAACCCTATTTCTTTCGTCAAACAAAAGACCAGAGGCAATATCATCACAGCTTTCTTATTACCAGGTGATGTGTCCAACTCATATACCGTCACTTGTCTTGTCTTCTAGGACAGAAAACTTATAAAGACACTGAAAAAGTTCACAAACCCATTAAAAATAACTTGACAGCTAATTATAGGTTCTCCTTAAGGAATTACCAATGAACGAAACTCGCTAAGTCAAAAAGTGAGTGGAGTTAAAAGTTTCAACTTATTCAAGAGAGAGTTGGATCAATTGAGATACTAACACTGCTAGGACCAGAATAGGTGACAGCCTCTCTTCCTTTAGAAAATGAAACCGGCAAAGGCTTCAGCATCACTAACGAATCTTAACTAAAACATTCTATTAACAACAAGCATTGGAACCTCACAAGGTCGGATTTATCAGCTTTAAAGAGCAGTATACAGCAAATCGACTGAGAAGCCTACCTTATAGAAGGTCTTGGTCAACTTTGGTTGTTATCAGAATACAGAACGTTTCGTCGCAGTCCCCCGATGTCGAGAACTAAGATCATTTCTCCTTTTAATTTACATAAATTACTTTGTTCGAAAAATATCGCAATAAGTGTTACTTTTTGCCGACAATGTAAAACTTTTTGAAGAACTGTAAAGCCAAGTCAATCAGGTTACTCTTCAAGAGGATTTGAATCAACTTAAAAGTGCAAAGTATTCTACCTGAGACATACTGCAGATTATGCATTCAACTTAGAAGTTTCTTAAGTCGGAAAAGATCAAGGATTCTTGATACTCTATGATCGAAATCTTATGCTTACTGTAACAAAAATGCTCACCAAACAAAGATTGCACTAATAATATTAAAGCTCATTTGTAATCATTTTGCAGATGACACAGTCCATATGTTTCTAAATAACCGTATTCAGCTGCATTTATAATGTAGATGTATAGTGCATTCCCCGTTACTGCAAGCGGACAAGGTGAGTGACGAAGTCAGTTTGAGGACAAATTTAAACCCTTTAAAGAGAGCTCCATGTAGCTTGACCTTCATCAGTCAGTTTACAGGGCTGTCAAATGTGACCTGATGAATCACAGCATTCTAAAGAACCATGAGCATCCTCTTATATGCTTTTTCAAGCTCTCTCTCAACATTTGGGGAAATACCAAGCGAATAGAGCCCCAACATAGATAAAGTTATCCAGGCAGCAATGATCTGCGCGCAAAATGCGAAGATCTGGATGTTTATAAGAAGCGAAGAGGATTTAATTGAGCTTCAAAAGGAAAGCCCATACTTTGAGGTCCACAACGTCGTCTCACCCCCCTATCTTTAAAGTGACATTATTCTCTCGTATCGATAGCAGTCAAAAGCAGCGAAATGGTTGGTGAGGTTGAGAAGTAAACCTTACAAAATGGACTCCATCACTTGGGATTATTCACTCTTAGTCACAGGAGAACCAGAGGTGATCGTATAATGAGTACAACATATTAGGCAGGCCAAATCATCCCAACATTAGCATCTTGAGGATACGTCACCACCTCGCCCCTCGAAGTAATCCTAGAAAAACTGCGCGTCAAAGAGACAATATCGGATTCCTGAACATTTGTTCTCATTAGGATGCCCTCCCAGATTAGGTAACCAAAGTCGCTTCAGTAGATAGCTTAAAGAAGGGACTTGATGAACGTGTACTCATATACGAATTGTCATCTCTCTGCTGAACCACCTGTGCATGATGCGCGTCTTGAAAATTGCTAGTTGTTGACGTCATTTCTTCAGATTTTTAGTTGATTCTTTCATACTTATCATTTCCGATTCCTCCTTTCTGCTTACACTTCGATTCTCTCGCACATTTTCACCATCGAATAATTAACTTATTTATCCATTTATTTAGTGACTTCTGGAATCGCATTATCATTAAGATTTTCTCCTTATTATTCCCCATATTGCGACTAACTGATTCGTGGCCTAGTCACATGATAGCTGCTGGTATCCAGAAACCCTATTGCACTGAAACAAGTCACGGGACACATATTCATAAACTGCCAACTGACCGAAACTGCTGCAGTCAAGGGCCCAGACATACAGACATTGGACACTACCAAATATCTGAAACCCTACCGAAGTAACTAGAAACAAGCATAAAGAAATTATCAGGTTTAAACTAGCTCATGGAATAGAAATTGAATTTTAGAAGGCTATTTGAAAGATGTTTGAAGGCCATGTTGTTGTCCACATGACGACAGCTTGCCGCGATTTTCAAAAGTTTCAGTGGTGATAAATTCACAATTTGATCCCATCACCTTCTAAGTTTGATTTTAGTGCAGCCTCAGCTATTGGATTAGGTTGTGTGAGTTTTTATTGTTGAGCTTATGGATTATTTTTTTTGTATTTCGTAGTTTTTTCAACATCATACTGTGCTGAATCCTTTTTGTTGTAAAACATAGTTTAAACCGAACGTCGAGGAATTCTGAAAATCAACTAAAATTATGGAAGGTCTACCTTTTTTGCCAGGAAATGCATTTAAGGACCCTACGGTAAGAGTTTTGTGATCAGTGACTCTCGGCTTTTTTAGCAAACCAATTTTCACCTATCTCACACGCTTGACGTAAAAAGTGGTCTTCGGTATGCAAAAGCCTACCCAGAAGTTGGTATTGGTGGTCGTCCACTAAAGGTGAACCAACTCACTGAGGCAGAACTAGACGAATTAGCAAATTTTCAGCCTACTTTAACTTATGGACAGACGAAACAGTCTCCTGTTTCTGAATTTGTCCCTGCCCATGTCGCATTGAGCAACAAAGTCCTTCGATTCTACGGATATTTTAAGGAGACGGTTAATGAATCACAGATTGAACACTACAGAGTCCGACATGTTCATATACTTTACTTCCTAGAAGATGATAGCATGCAAGTTACAGAACCATCGCAAAATAATAGTGGCATACCTCAAGGTAACTACCAAGTTGTTATAAATAACTTTGTTTTATATAAAACGTGTCTTTGGCTGGACTCATTTCATTCGGAATACGTATTGGTCACTGGATATATATATATGAGCATCACCTATTGCTTAGTTTATAAAAGACAGACATTTTGAAGAGTTAAAAGCGGGTGCATGGCACGAGACCTAATCTACATTAATTTTCATGACCACACTATCTAGTAAAATTATTTCCTCTTTCAACGGTCCCTGCTAGTTGAAGTGACATTACTTATCATATTGTATTTTCAGTCACTGACTACTTGACAATGTAAACGGTATACACCTGAGTTTATTTACACTAACTGTTCAATTCAGTCATCCTAATAATCGTAGTACTGATGTATTATGTAATGTAATAGGAGGCTTTAAAATTAACAACAATTTGGTTATTGTCTTCAGCATATTGGCTTAAAGTGAACAGTTAATTTACGCAAGTAACTATAGCATCAATGGAAAAATACAAAGTTGTAAGGTATGGAATTGTCAGCCAAAAATTAGTCTTTATAATTCCATACCGATTAAACCTTAAATTTTAACAACAAAATGGCATACAGAAATATTATTTAAGGGATGATTTTCTAATAATAAAAAACCTACGCAGATCTAAATGAACGGATATATTGTTTCAAATCCGTACTGATGCTTAGAATCAACCTGTGATATTCGATAATCACAAAAAGACGAATTTACTTACATGAGCTCCCTCGTTTTCCAGCTTGTTCTTTACTTCTAAAGCTTATCTAAATAAGTCATCTTATTTATCCAAAGTGTACGCCTAAACTGGGGCATTCCTATTAAAATCGAATGTGAAAGTTTTGGCAACCTGACTAATTAATTTTTGAAGAAGCATAAACTTATGTCTGTTGATTTACTCATACAAAAGACTATCATTGTGAGAAACCTTTTACAAAAGACACTATTCGGGATTTTTATTCATATTGTGGGTTACCGAGCTCATAAAAGTCAGTGAAAGTTACTCAGACCTCCGCATTTTGTTTTTTGTAATCGCAAACCTTAGTGGACTCGTCCCTCATGAGGCGTTACATATGAGTGTTCTAAGTGTATTGGTCTATACTTTGCATCAAAAGACTGAAGCAGTAGAATGCACAACAAATGCATAAAGAAGCATGTCAATATAAGGAAATGAAAAGCATTGGATGCAAATGAGTTCAATACACAAATAGATATCAAGATTGATTGGACAGACTTTTCTGCAATCTATTTCTAACTGCATCAAAAAGATTCCGTGTCCTTAAATTAAAGTTGAATGGTTGTTTTTACAAAAGAAATCAGGAACTTAAAATAATAAACATCTCTATCGTTAGTAAGCTTAATTTTATATAATTCAGGCTACCGGTTTTTCAGTCGTAACTACGAATTTAGACAAAAGGTGACTATTTCGGTATAATAAAACTTCCAGTCATGTTTGTCGATACAGTTTTACAAAATATTTGAGTAACTTTTAAACTTCACCTAGAAACCTACTCAGAACCCAAAAACTGCTGCCTCGATCTCCGGAGAATACGCAAAACAATGCCTCAATCAAATCTATCATAGAGCGTTAGCAGCTTTATTATAAGAAAACATATTTAGCTTAGTGTTAATGATGGTTTGTTGGCATCAAAGAACGAGTAATTTCAGATGTTTATTAAATCATGAAACTGACTCACATAAACCCCGTTTCTATAGAATTCATGCTCCGTTTACGAGGTACAGTTTGTCAAAAACGAGTCATAAAATCAGTGTAAATGAGATAGCTTCGTGGTTAAGACTTGTGTTTTCGAATTGATGAATTAAATGTTACTTTCAGTTACATCTTTAGGAGACCTATTTTTACTTCCTTTATTACTTTAAACGGCCTGACATATAAGATATTTCTATCGATTTTTAGCCTTACTATCAAAACTATAGTGAACAGAATAAAACAATTATTAATTCAGTGTAGGGTTTTAAAATCAATTTCTTAATCGTTCATAATTTATTTTATCGAAATTCATAGGTAAATTAGTTCGTAGGCACAGAATTCCAAAAAACGATTCCGGAGATTGTTACAATTGGCGTGATCTAAATCTTGCTACAAGTTTGGCTATATACGGTCGAGTTTATCGCATCACAAATTGTGATAAGTTTACAAAGGTTTGTGAACATGTTCGCTCATAATTCAAATTAACCTACAGCTTTTTATATTGGTATGATAAATTACTTACGACCTAATATGAAATATTACATGTAGCATTTTTTCCTTTCATTCCTATGGTTTCACGGTTTGTTGCTACTCAATATTTACTTAAGAAGGCTGAAATTTTGTGTATTCATCATTAAAGATTGTCCACGATATGTTAAATATGTTACTATTCAGCTTTATGTTATGGGAACTAGTAACAAAATTCACAGCTTAGAGGAAGTTTTTCTAGAGAGTTGAAAGTTCCTGATTTGATCTTTTAGTCATTCTAGTATATGCACTGTTTTTAATTTAAGATAGTAGATTAACATACTCTGGTTTTTAGTTACCTGTTGGTCTCTTTCAGGTTGTGATAAAACCTTCCTACAGGTACTAACTGGTTATTCAGACTTTTCATTTTGAACGTACATGTAACTCTTCTATATCACTAAAATATAATGCTTGTCATGCACTCTTCGTCATAAGTTGCATTTGAACTTACTTGAAAATTTAAGAAATTAACATTAGCTAGTATTTTTTTACTGGGTTGAGATTTGAAGACAACAAATAAGTATATATTCACTCGTAAAACCTATATATTTACTTTGTCACAGTGAGTCGAACATGTGCATAAATACAGCTTTTTTTAACTCAATACTTAAAGTTCTTGAACAAGTATTCAAAACTTCTAACTTTAGATAGAGCCTACGTTGTTATATCATTTAGCTTTATGATTAACTGAATTTACTTGTTTGATAGAATTAAGTAGTTTCTTGTTAACCACAGCACTTCTATGATTACTTTTTGGAAAGTGGAATATAGACATAATCCGACCGACTATCCAATTTAGTTGGTCAGCTGTGTCATACTGAACTAAATAACATACTTTCAACACAAGATGTGTAAATGGAGCGCAACAAAAAAGCAGAAAACAACATAATTAATACTTGTAACCATGAATCGATCAATGTTAGACCACCATTAGAAACCTGGAAGCACTGGATGGCCGTTTCGTCCTGGTATAGGACTCATCAACAGTGCGCATCCATGACTCCTGTATCCCGCAGGATTCGAACCCAGAACCTTCGGTATTGTTCGCGAACGCCCTAACCGTTAGACAACTGAGCCGATATCTAACGGTGTTAATGTCTAACTTGATCAATTGACTGAAGAGTCCCATACTGGGACGAAATGGCCATCCAGTGCTTCCAGGTTTCTAATGGTGGTCTAACGTTGATCCATTCATGATTTCAAAAATGTGTAATTTGACAATTATCTTTCATAATTTTGTGAAAGTTCAGAACATCTCCGTTCAACATAAGGTATTATATTTCGCTGTTTTATCATATACCACCTATATGTTCTCGACTACCTACAACTTGTACAGATTTTGTCAATAATATCATCGAAGAGAAAATTTTCTTCTTCAAAGACTCAGTAGGTTTCTTTTATTCTGTGACAGTTATCGAATGAGTGAAAATCTTTGATTTTGAATGTATAATAATCTATTTGCTCTGTATAATTGTACAGTGTATTAGAAGTCAATTTATATAATATTTTTTTAGGAATTTTTAGAGAGTGAAGGAGTTGTTTTGAATGAACCTGAACAAGAACCACTGGATCCATATTTGGCTGAAAGAGCTAAACGTGAAGCAATAGGTCTTGGTAAAACACCTTCATCATTTGATAAACGACGTCAGTATCTTGAACTTGATCGTAAAGTTTTACGATTTTATGCTGTACAAGATGAACGACATGAAATGTTCGGTGAATGTCGTAAATTTGTTATACATGTACGTATATGATATAATTCTTCTTAGGTAATGTTCAAAATTAAAATCACTCAACTAAAATCTACTTTGATGGCTAGTTTAAAAATCTTTTAAATTTACACATGACCATATACGCATAGTTTAAGCAAACTGGTATATTTAAATATTTGTTTGAAATTGAGTTTATCAGTGACTGATTGAAAATTTTCAAAAGTTTAGGTCTCGGCGGTCACTAAAAACATCATACTGGTCAACCGATCTTGTATAGTTAAAAGTTACTGTATGTACTCTGAATCTTTGCCATGACTAATTTCATTTCGCTCGTTAAATGCTATGAAGGATTTCACTGAAGTGTTCTTATTTAAATACGGATAGCAAACTTTTCATGATTCAAATCAATTTTTGTGATTGTAACTAACCAGACAAGATTATTCCTAGCTATTTTGTGTAACTTGAAATGGTAACCATTTTTTGGGAGAATAACACCAATAGATTCCTGTATCATATGTTCATCCTATACATTTTACTTGTAATTAACAATTCAATTCTACAGATAAATGTTTTCTACAAATTTCAGTGAATTCCACGTCTCAATAGTCAAAGTAATCGTGTAAAAACGTTTTATTTGTCAGGTTAGGGAAAATCAAGTTGGCTATGTTAACAAAACGGAGCTAAACCTTTTCAAAGACAAACTTTATAATATGACTTGAAAATCGTTTATTTGAAAACTATAGCAAACAAAACTCCCTGAATTATTATTCCTGTAAGTTGATTGTCTCCTGACGAGTTTCATTACTGATCATTACTGGTCATCCGAAATGAAACAATCAATCACGGGATAATAAAAATTGAAACTCACTCTTAAAGACTTAAAACGTTGACTTAGGGTAGACAATTTTATTGAATACTGGAATAACGCAGCATAGCTATATGATCAACAATGATTCGTAACAGTTCTTCACATAATAACATTTTTATCATGAACTTTATTTTCAAATCGCATGGTTTTTTTAATTATCACTTATGTTTGATTCATTATAAAGTAAATAGCGTTGGGGACGTTAAATCCCCAGGACGCACTTGATTAAGGTCCTAAATTTGGATTTTGTGGTTTCGCGCATGTGCTGATCAGTTGATCTTAAGATTACATTTCCTACCTAGAAAATCCTTGACCGTTATTGGTCGATGTATTACTTTGGTGCGTTATTTTTGTGGCTTTCCCAAAGAATACATTTTCTACGTCTTGTCGAGACTTCTTCCTCTACTTAGTGGGGCCTTGGGACTCTTGGATTATAGCAGCCTATCGTGTCACTGGATCATTTGTCTTCGCTCTTGTTTACCGACAAAGATGAACTCGTAATAGGTCAAGCATATCAATTGACGAGCATTACAAATAGTTATTTAAAATTTCTGAACAACCAATTTAATTTTATAACCGAGTAAGCCGAGTAAGCAATGCTGTTGTTAGGGAACGAGTACTAGGTAAGGATGGCAGATCAATAGATGAAGTGGTGAAACTTCATCAGTTGAGGTGGTTGGGACATGTGTTACGTATGCCTAACCACCGACTGCCTCGACGAGCTATGTTTTGTGGTGTAGGAGTAGATTGGAAGAAAGTTAGGGGCGGGCAGACCAAAACATGGCACAAATCCATGAAGTCACTGACAAGTGGACTGAGTCATGTCGGTAGATGTAGACTACCTGGTTGGGGTCCGCGAGACGAAAGTCATCAATGGTTAGAGACCTTAAACGACATGGCTCAAAATCGTTTGCAATGGCGCAGGTGCATCCACTCTTTCAGCTCTCTCAAATCCTAATCTTCTGGAATCGTCAGCACCTCTACCTTTGTCTTTCTAACCTTATCTCACTGAATTATATTTCTTGAATAATATCTTCGAACCCTAGTCTTCTTTATGAACATTAATACCTCTACTATCTTTATCACTATGGGATTTGATTTGGCATTTGCGTCTGTGTGCTCATGTGGTATGGCAACATGAACTTATGTACATACGTACGAAGTTCTACGTTGCAACTGACTGACTATAACTTTGTTTAAGTGGTTAGTGTCTTAGCTGATGTGAGGCTATTCAAAACTTGAATTTGTCAAACTGATAATTTGTGTATACCAACAACAGATAAGATAAATTTATTAAGAATACGTTAAATATTTATATATATTCATGCTAATAAATTACTTATATATTGTTTTCTAAAATCTAAAATCAACAATTCAAATGAATAAAATAAAATACAGTATTACTTAGCGGATGATACATTGGAAATACGTGAAATTCACACAATCAATGATGGCCGTGATCCATTTCCCTTATTGTTAAGACGTAGTAAAGTACCAAAATATGATACTGTTCCCAATTCATTTCCAAGTATTAATTTAGAACTAACTGGTAAGTTACACTATGTGTTTTTATAAATCATTACAAATTATAATTTTTCTCTATTGTCCCCTATGCATTATTTACTATTTGAACAATGTTACTTTAACCACTTGTAATAATCGTGATGCAGAGTTGTTCAATTCGGCAGAAGGAAGAATAATTTAAAACTTGCAATTATAAACTCAAATGACATAATAAAGTGAGCGTTGTATACGGTTTTACTTCTCCGGCATCAAATGAAATGAGGTCGCAGATTATTTATTATTTACTAAACCAGCAGATGTTAGTAATCAGAGTCATAGTTCTCAAAGAAGTTTTGAAATAGGAATGATGATTTTAGTTCAGTCTTGTACTTAGAAGTGAATTTTTTTGAGCATGTTGTCACTTATTGTAGTAATCTGAACAACACTAATGCATTGGAGACTGGAATGATACCAACAATGTCACAAACTAGTTGTATTTACTTTGATAAACGAAATATCAGTCTATTTGACATTATTTCTGCATTAAACAACTTCTGATGGCTTAAGATATGTATACGCTTAATGTTTGATCATCTATACATAATCAGTTTAAGCTATTATTATGTTCGTCACTTAGTCGATAAACGTGAACGAGACAATTTCCAGCGTCTAGGTAGGCTACTTTGAATCCCAAGCTGAAGTAAGAAGGCTTTGTAAGCGTAGAAAATATATTCTACAAACACCCAGAAATCACAGTACAATCAAGCGTACAACTCTCGTTTATTTATACATCATAGGTACGTCCTTGGGACAGTTACGAAAATAGCACACTAAAATACACAGCAGCCAATGACAGTCATGGATTTTCCTGGTGGGAAATGAAATCTCAAGGCCGACTGATCAGCCCATGCTGGCAAACGTGAAAACCAAAATAAGGCATTTATCAAGCGAGTTTTGGAGATCTAACATCCCCAACAGCTATGGTACACAAATATAGATGGACTAGCCAAGACAAACCTTAGTTTAGCTTGTATGACACATGTTCCAACCATCTCAGTCAGTTAAGATACCCTAAATAAACACAAATCTGAGTTATAAGGCGAAAAATAAGATATTTTCGTCATGGAATAGACAGAGGGTTATCTCTGGTGTGCCTAAAGATCTATCAATTTTAAAAGGCTAAATTGAATCTCTAAATATATCCAAAGATTGCCGTCAGTCATCAACCCTTTACTGTGAGTGAAACTGAGATGAGCTACATGATTGCCAGGTTCGATTATATCAGTGCCTGTAATTATTAATATCTTCAAAAGATTGCGTTTTTACAGTTGAATGTTCAATGGTCCATTACTGAGGTCGGACTCAGATCGCAAAGTGATGAAATGTATGGTACATGTTAACGTGTATCCCGAATCGCAATGATGTTTATCATAAAGGTAGTGTTGGGGATGTTAGATCCCCAAAATTCGCTTGATAATGCCGTATTTCGGTTTTCACGTTCGCCAGCAGGGGCTGATCAAATGACCTTGAGATTTCAATTCCCACCAGGAAAATCAATGGCTGTGATTGGCTGCTGTGTATTTTAGTATGCTATTTTCTTGACTGTCTCAAGGACGTTGTTATGTTGTATAAATAAACGAGAGTTGTATGCTTGATTGTACTGGATTGCTGGGTGTTTGTAGAATATACTTTCTACGCTTACCAAGACTTCTGTTTTACCGTTGGATTCAAGGTAGCCTCCCTGGAAGCTGGTAAAAGCATCGTTCGTGTTTATCGACTAAGGTAAACTCGTAATAGCATCAAGCATACTAAGTGACGAACATATCAGTGGCGACGGCGCTCACAATTCACAATGTCAATTAACCTTGAACAGTTAGAATCTTTACTGGAACGTCAAGGTAAACGATATGAACAGTTGCAGGAACGTATGTTGGAGCTGTTAAGGAAACAAATGAATTTGAACCCACGAGATTGTTCGTTTTCTGAGACTGTTCAGACTTTAAGCCAACACTTTGGAGACAACTCGTCACTATTTAATACTCGTTATCGATGTTTGAAGCTTATTATGAACGAAGATGATGATTTTCTTACGCACGTGGGCATCGTCAACCGTGAATGCGAACGCTTTCGGTTGAAGTCTTTGTCGGAAGACCAGTTCAAAGCCCTCATTCTCATCTGCAGCCTCCAGTCGAGTAAGTTCAGTGACATTAGAACAAGGCTACTAAGTCGGTTGGAGCAAGATCCAAAGCTTACGCTTAATGATATGGCTCATGAGTACCAACGTCTCACTGACCTACAACGAGACTCGACTATAGTTCAGAGTGGTAGTTCAAGCCGATCTGAAATTCATTTGGTACAGCAGCCACCTAATCATTATAAGTCTGCCCATGCTACACCCAGTTCACCCCGCTCCAATTCGGCCCAAAAACCCAAAATGAATCCACCTTCTGCTTGCTGGCACTGCGGTTCATGGCACTATGTACGGAACTGCCCATTTAGGCAGCATAGATGCAGGAAGTCATCGGTCATAAAGATGGCTTTTGCCTACAGAAAAAGCCAAAGCGATCCAGAAGTGTTAAGAAGCCTCTTCCTAGATCCAGTACCAATGCATTGAGCCTAATATCTTCCTGCCAAAGTTCATCAACAGGTGAGAGGAAATTTATTACTCTTAATATTAACGGTTATTTGTGTAGAATGCAAATAGATACTGCATCTGATGTCACTATCCTCTCACGCAAAAATTGGACCAAGTTGGGCAGCCCAAGCCTGCAGCACACAACACAAAAGCCTCGCACAGCATGTGGTAATTATCTTCGTCTGTTAGGACAATTGGAATGTAAAGTTGCTTTCCGGGATTCGTCGTTTACTGGGGTATGCTATATAACGCCAGCTGATCTAAATTTACTTGGTTTAGATTGGTTCGACCAGCTAAAATTGGCTGATGTCCCGCTAAATACCATATGCAACCTGGTATCACAACGACATGACCCAGAAGCGTATACGAAGAAGCTGATGACAGAGTTTTCAACCATTTTTGAACCTGGATTAGGTCGGTGCACTGCTATGGAAGCAACACTTCGGTTGAAACATGGGGCTAAGCCTGCTTTTCATCCAAAGAGACCTGTACCGTATGCTACATTAGCAACAGTAGATGAAGAGCTGGATCGCCTTCAACGACAAGGAGTTATTACTCCCGTTTCTTACTCCAGTTGGGCAGCACCTATAGTCGTTATCAAGAAGGCCAACGGAACGATACGTATATGTGCTGACTTCTCTACAGGTCTCAACGCAGCTCTAGAACAGCATCATTATCCTCTGCCAGTTCCAGCAGATCTGTTCACTATGCTGAATGGAGGAAAGTTCTTCGCAAAGCTTGACCTAGCTGATGCTTATTTGCAAGTGGAAGTCGATGAAGCATCTAAAGAGCTGCTTACTATCAACACTCATCGCGGTTTGTTTCAGTATAACCGTCTACCTTTTGGAGTTAAGACTGCGCCATCTATCTTCCAACAACTAATGGATACAATCCTGTCAGATATCTCAGGGGTTGCAGCTTATCTCGATGATATCTTGATTGTTGCGAAGACGTTAGAACAGCTACGGGAACGCACGACATTGGTACTACAACGCATCAGTGACAATGGTTTCCGGTTACGCCCAGAAAAATGCCAGTTTCTATTGCAGTCGGTAAAGTATTTGGGATTCATCTTTGATGCCGACGGTCGCAGACCGGATCCTGAAAACATCCGAGCTATCAAACTGATGCCCACTCCCACTAATGTTTCCGAATTACGATCTTTTCTCGGTTTGATCAGTTATTATTCAGCTTTTGTTCCCTCGATGCATGATATTCGCGCTCCATTGAATTGTCTACTGCAGAAGCATAGCACATGGAACTGGACTAAAGAGTGTGACGCGGCTTTTGGTAAACTCAAGTCTATAATTAGCTCGGAATTGTTATTAACACACTACGATCCATCCATGCCGATCATCGTAGCAGCAGACGCTTCAGCATATGGCCTAGGTGCTGTTATTTCACATCAGTTTCCAGACGCGTCGGAAAAAGCCGTTATGCATGCATCCCGTACACTGACCCCAGCAGAAAAGAAGTATAGCCAGATAGAGAAAGAAGCTCTTGCCCTTGTGTTTGCTGTTCGCCGTTTCCATAAGTTTCTGTACGGTCGAAGATTCACGCTTCTCACAGATCACAAGCCTCTGTTAGCAATATTTGGTTCAAAGTCTGGCATTCCAGCCCATTCTGCAAATCGTCTTCAGCGATGGGCCTTGGTACTTTTGGGGTATGATTTCGAAATCCAATATCGACGCACTCTACAATTCGGTCAAGCAGACGCTTTGTCACGACTCATTAATGATCAAGTGGCGGCTGAGGAAAACATGGTGATCGCATCTCTGTCAGTAGAAGACCACGCAGAATGTGATCTGACAACCGCAGTTCGTGCATTACCGGTGTCTGCAACAGACATACAAAATGCTTCTAGAAACGACCCCATCATCAAGATGACGATGAAATATGTCACGAAAGGTTGGCCGTCGAAAAAGTTTGAAGGTGACATCAAGCAACTGTATCAGCGGCGGAATTCACTATGCATCGTGAACGATTGTCTCATGTTTGGTGAAAGAGTAGTGGTTCCAGCATCCCTTCGTGCAAAAGTGCTGAGACAGTTCCATCTTGGTCATCCTGGGATTAAACGAATGAAGTCCATAGCCAGGAGTTATGCATACTGGCCTCACATGGATCAACATGTCACAGCGTTGGTTGAAAAATGCATCCGGTGTCAGCAGGCGGCAAAGATGAATGCCAAAATTCCGCCGGTTTCATGGCCCAAACCTGAGCATCCTTGGTCCAGGATACATGTCGACTTCGCTGGCCCAATAAATGGAACTATGTATTTAATTGTCGTCGACGCCTTTTCTAAATGGCCGGAAATCAGCCCCGTTATGCCGCCCACTACAACTAAGACTATACAGCTCCTAACTGAAATTTTCTCACGAAATGGCATACCAGATGTGATCGTATCCGACAATGGCTCTCAATTCACCTCTTCCCAATTCCAGAATTTCTGTCAACGGCTAGCTATTAAACACTTACGCTCGCCACCATACCACCCGCAATCGAATGGGCAGGCGGAAAGGTTTGTGGATACGTTTAAAAGAGCACTGCTCAAGTCAAAAGGGGAGGGGACGCCAGCCGAAACGTTACAAAATTTCTTGTACGTCTATCGGACAACACCAAATGAATTGTTACCGGAGCAAAAGTCCCCAGCTGAAATCCTGATGGGAAGAAGTTTGAAAACGATCCACAGCCTGATGCATCCGACTAATGCACCCTCATCAGTAAAGACAAAGCAGCAAAGACAATCCGCTTACGAAGTAGGATGCCCTGTGTTTGCCCGCGACTACAGAACGAACCATGGTCCTTGGGTAGAAGCGAGAGTGGTCAGAAGGGTTGGTCGAGTTATGTACGAAGTAGAGGTAGGAGGTGATAAATGGTCACGTCATCGCAATCAGATACGCAGACGGCTAGCCCCAGATCGCCCATCAAGAGCAGAAAGCCTTCCCCTTGACATCTTGCTTGATACCTTCAACCTACCGAGAGCCCCGCCACGAGAAGAAACTCAGCAGCAAGCTGTTCTTCGTTCCCGAAGGTATCCACTCAGACAGCGGCGAACAATAGTCAAGATGCACGTCAACCACAGGAGAACACGCTATTAAAAAGGGGAGGAGTGTTGGGGATGTTAGATCCCCAAAATTCGCTTGATAATGCCGTATTTCGGTTTTCACGTTCGCCAGCAGGGGCTGATCAAATGACCTTGAGATTTCAATTCCCACCAGGAAAATCAATGGCTGTGATTGGCTGCTGTGTATTTTAGTATGCTATTTTCTTGACTGTCTCAAGGACGTTGTTATGTTGTATAAATAAACGAGAGTTGTATGCTTGATTGTACTGGATTGCTGGGTGTTTGTAGAATATACTTTCTACGCTTACCAAGACTTCTGTTTTACCGTTGGATTCAAGGTAGCCTCCCTGGAAGCTGGTAAAAGCATCGTTCGTGTTTATCGACTAAGGTAAACTCGTAATAGCATCAAGCATACTAAGTGACGAACATATCAGGTAGGCAGAAGTCCGCGAAGCCACTGTAAAGAAAGATTAACAATGAGCATACATATAACAGCTAAGTGAAGGAAAATTAGAGTTGTTTGTTTGAATATGTTTCGATACCTTGTGCTAATTTTTCATCTTATTTTCTGCATTGATCAAATCTTATATCCCATTGCCTTTTGTTCTAATTAAATAAAGAAAATGAAGTAAAAGAATATTTCTCACCGAAAGATTTTCATCTTGGTCAATCAGTGAATATACTTGGTCGAAAATATTTAATATATGATTTTGATAATTTTACAAAAGCATGGTATCATAATAATTTTGGAATAACAGAATTCACTCCAATAGATGTAGAAATTAAATATCCAGAATTACCGAAAAAAGTCAGTTGATTGCATATTTCAACTGTGTATTGTTTTAAACGTATTCATTTTTTGAAACCATGAATCCATCAATGTTAGACCACCATTAGAAACCCAGAAGCACTGGACGGCCGTTTCGTCCTGGTATGGGACTCCTCAGGAGTGCGCATCCACGACTCCTGCACCCCGCAGGATCCAAACCCAGGACCTTCGGTATTGTGCGCGAACGCCCTAACCGTTAGACCACTGAGCCGGTATCCAACGTATGGTATAAGTTTCAAGTAAATCTAAAAAGGTTAAATTTATTCTCATATTTCATTAATTTTTCTATATTTTCTGATCTTAAAGAAAGGAAATTCAATTCTTTTGATAATCCGAACTAGTCAAGTTGTATTTACTATGATTTTGCGAGTAAGATCTCAATAGATGTGTTTTGCTAGTTTAAACAAAGGTTTACCCTATTTTTAAATTGTCAGATTGACCTGAAAAATAACATTATTTATTTAGTGAACAAATTGAGTAAATTTATTCATCTTAAAGATTTGAATAAGAATGCTGTAAAGTTAATAAATGCTTACCTTTCTCTTGAAAATGTGATTTCCGGTTTACTTTGAAATACAGGCGTCAACTTGATATACTAACTGTCAATAATAAAGACTGAATTTGAAACATAGTATTTCAAAACTCTCTATTGCTTCAGACAAACCGTACTCATAATTACAAAGTTTAATTGACAGTCAGATTTGATGTTTACAATATAACTTTCGCTTAGTATTTGTTCAATATAGAACTGAAAATGAGTTATTACAAATTATACTACTAATTGATAAAAAGTACTGCAGATTGTTGTACGCGTTTAAAGTTGATCATCACATAAATATCTGTTTTAACTTGCTGAATAATTTTGCAATCATAGTTCTTTATACACTAATATTACATCATAAAATTTAAATGTTTAGTAAGACTAGTCGTTCCTTGACAAAAATAAGGTGCCGGATTTAACTACGTTCCACATTTTTCTGTCGTTGTCAGCTACATAGAAATCAATAATCCCAAACTTTGTTGAATTTGAGTAAATTTCTTCTGTTACAATCAATGCGTAAGAACTAAAACCCCCTTAAAATTATTATTGAAAATGATGGAATACAATGGACCCATCTATTGTGAAATTTAAAACCTGTCTTGTTATAACCTACACTATAAACGTGTTTCAGAAGTACAGAAATAAAGTTCATTGCTAAAAAATATGACATATTTACATAAAAGGACTCTATTTTTTGACATTAATTATTATCTTTTCAGGAGAATTTGTCCTCTGAAAAAACAATTCAAAATTTTATTGTTGGTATAAGAAAAAATATCAGTTTAAAATTGTTGACAGATCATATGTTAAGGACTATAACAAGCAAATTTATTGAATACTTAACCTCAATGTTAAAAACTAATAAGTTTTACATACTTTGTAATAAACTACGTCGTAATTTGAATAAAAGTTGAGGTGGTGGAGAAAATGTGTAGCTCAGGTAGATAATTGTGATTGAGTTTCTGTTCTCTGGGATAGATGTTTTGATTGTGGAGCTTTCATCGTTCTTCTGAACAACATCATCAGCACAAACTTCAGATAGAAGAAGTGAAGAGTATTTGAATTTCTCCATGCATGACTCGTGGCTTGTTCTGTTGGACTCGATCTTGATTGGTTGTTATTGATCTTAACACTGTCGTTGTCTTCACTATTTTGATCGTATCCCCCTTTGATCTGTTTCTTGATCTTATGTTGCCTATGATTTTTTTGATTGGTTAAAAAATTGGGTCAATATCGATGTGCTTGTTGATTGCTGATTGACTTGAGTGCCAAGCTTGCGAAAATCCCCTATTGTTGTTTGTACTCTCTCTATCCATTATTTTAACATTTTCCAATCAAATGTAGGTCCATAGTTGCCGTCATTTATTGATATAAGAGAAGAAATGACACTACGTTTGACTGCTAATTAATGTTCATGTACATTAAGTTGAAGAGGATGTCCCCCTTGTCCTATCTAGTGTTCTTCTCAGTCTGAAAATTTTATTTTGTAGATGATTTTTGGTTTCTCACCATTTATCATCTTATCTTTTGGTTTGCATAGAAGTGATAGAAGTGATTCTGTTAGTTTGTGTGCTACACCTATTCCAAATGGTTTCAGTGATCGTGATGTAATTTCTGACACGTCTTTAATGTAGGGTAGGATGATCCGTTTGTTGGTTCCTGTACTTGATTTTGCTTCCGTTTATGGTTTCGGATGATATTATTTTGATGAATTTGTGTGGACAGCCATTCTTTCGGAAGATAGTCATCAGATGCTTTTCCTCGTTTTTCAGTGCTTCATATGTGCCGCAGTTGATTTTGTCAGTTCTTGGGTTGTTGCCACTGTAGTTGAGACTTGGATCTATGTGGGTTGGCTTCCGAAATACTTGGGTCTCCAGTTTCCTTGTGTCAGTTCTGGTGATTAGTACATCAATGAATGATAGTTTGTTGTTTTATTCCTTTTTCATCGTGAATTTTATGTCATCGAAGATGTTGTTGATCTGATTGTAGATGTTCTCCAGCTCATTCCTTTCGATGATGACGAATGTGTCGTCTACATAGCGAACCCACATTTTTGGCTCGATTACCGGTAAAAATGATCCTTCTAGTCTCTGCAACAGGGCTTCTGAAGTAATCCTTGATATTGTTCAGTCATAGTCAGTCAGTCAGATTCAACGTAGAACTTCGTACGTAAGTACATCAGTTCATGTCGCCGCCATACCACATCACCGCAGAGATGTAATTGTCAATTCAAATCCAATAGTAGAAGAGATAGTAAAGATATTAGAAGTAATCGGAGATGTTAGGATTAGAAGATATTATTCAAGAAGTATGATTCAGTGAGAAAAGTTTAGAAAATCAAAACTAGAGGTGTTGAGGAACCCAGAAGATTAGGATTTGAGAGAACACAAAGAATAAATGCACCGGCGCCATTGCAAACGATTTTGAGCCATGTCATTCAAGGTCTCTAACCATCGATTAATATCATCTCGCGGACCCCAACCAGGTAGTCGACAATTACCGACATAGCGAAGTCCACTCGTCAATGACTTCATGGATTTCTGCCATGTTTCGGTTTGGCCGCCCCTAACCTTGATATTGGTGATCGATCCTAGTGCTTTTCCTTTCATCTGTTTAATAGATTTTCATGTAGCATCGTAGACATGTTAAGGCTAAATCACTGAGTTCTAGAAGACTTCGACTCTGAAATTTCATAGACTTTAGGATATTTGTGTTGTTGTTGTTGAGAAAATCATCGACAGAAGCAAAATCAAGTACAGGAACCAAAAAACAGATCATCCTAACCTACATAAAAGACATGTCAGAAATTACGTCATGATTACTAAAACCATTTGGAATAGGTGTAGCACACAATCTAACAGAATCACATCAATCACTTCCATACAAACCAAAGGATAAAATGACAAATGAAGAAAAAACCAAACAGAACAAGACACGAGTCATACATGAAGAAATTCAAATACTTCACTTCTTCTATCTGAAGTTTGTGCTGATGATGTTGCACAGAAGAACAATAAAAGCTCCACAACTAAAACATTCACCTCAGATTATTATTTGAGCCTCGATTGTGTGAAAAACATTAGAGGGAGATTTTCTTACTATAAACCTTAGTGACGGAAATTAAAATACTTATTTGCTGATTCATCTATTCATTCTCAATCAATACATGCTGAGGCTAATTAGATTTTTGGTTAACATTCAACGATTTTGTTTTAGAACTTAGCCAGGAAGTATATTTGTTTAGTAGACTTCATATATTGAACTAAGGAGGAGGCATACATTTATTCGCTTGCCACAGTTGGAATACATTACATTTCATAGCAAATATTTTTGCTTTACAAATCTTTCTTTGACATAGCTGAACAGTCTCTAAGTATGCATTTTTTTTCATAACATTTGATTTAGATAATTTTACTTTCTCTATACTGATATTCACCAGGATTACTCAGAACCTTACTAATAATAATAGTATGAACATAACACCTATTGAACAAGTTAGCTGCTATATGAACTCAGTAGAAAGTGCATAAGCACATAGCAACTCATATACAATTGAGTTTGTAAACATTTAATTTGTTAAATACATTTTGAAAAAGTTATTCATCAGACAATCGCTCGTATAGCAACAACTTATCTAAACCATTGTGCTTCTATTATTGTAGCGTTTGTATGAGCAGATATGATTGGACGTCGCTTATCACCTACATACATATTCATTATACTCACTTTAATGTTAGCAGTCTAAATAATCGATGACTCATTCATTTCCTATACATATAAATAAGAAATGAATGAGTTATATGTATAAACATATCCTATCTACTCGCTCACTCTTCAGCTGTCATGTCATTTACCCGCTCACGTCGTATGCCTGTGGTTTTTTGATCCGTGTGGTGCCATAATAAACGTCTTCAATGCTTCGTATTCGGCTTCCGATTCATCTGCCAAGGGTCGTCATTTACCAAAGCTTACCAGGACGTGCAGTATATGAAGTTTAGGAGTATATCGTTTACCGATCACCAGGGGACTGGTGATCCCACATCTACCATAGGCATTTGAAGCTAAAGCTTCTGGGTTCAAGCTCTACCATGTATAGTAACATGCATGTAACTAAATCCCGTTGACAATTTCTAAACTGGACAAAAGCCCTATCATTATAAACTCTACCGCTACTTGTAATCCATTTATTCTTGATTTTTATTCACTCCTAGTGTTTTTCAGTGTATTTACTTCCAATCGATTCTGTTTCTTGTAAAATAACATTTTTTTTCAAAAAAAAACATAGGAATTACCACCATATAATGGCTTTGGAACAATTGAAGATAGTTTAGCCTTCACGAAATCGTTCATTTTAAAACCTCCCAAAGTTGATACCATAAAACACTTGGATTATGCACAAAAAGTGTTAAGATATGAAGCTCGTTTAGTAAGTAGTATAATTATTTTTAAAAATTTAAGTATTTATATTATATTATTATTATTTCCAAGTAATTTGTTTGCAAATTTGATTTAAATGATGTGAAAGAAACATTTTTATCCTAACATGAAGAAATATTATCTGATTGTAGATTTCGGTGAGTTATTGATTCGTATATAAGCTAAGAGGTACGAAATTCGGTTGGAAGTTTAACAGCATGAATGTTAGTCAGCCAGTGAATATGGATTTTAGTAAGGTAATTTGGGACATCGATTGTAGACGCCACTTGACCTCCTGTAATGAACGAGAACACAGGTGGGGCAACCAAATTGTATTTAACAAAACTTACAGAGTTACTCAGTAAAATTGGAAAACCATATCGTAAATCGTTCATTTGCAAAATATCAGTTCATCATATCGAACTGGACTGTTCCTGTTGCAAAACATCAATCCATTGTCACTATTCATGCGTTCGTTTCATACAAATTCCATTGTTTTCTAACTCTTCCTTTCTTGATCTTCCCCCATCTTCTGCTGCCAGACATTACGTTGACACTCACGTCATATACTACTTATAAGTAGCTCACACCACACTCCTACTGAAACGTTGGATGTTTATCACTGTAAAAATGAATTCAACACACATTTACGGTGTTCAACTGATTTCTAACTATTAGTTTGATTTTTCAGTAAACATATTCAAGGTTCAATAAATTAACGATTGCTAAGCTTTGATCATAGGTAATATGATGATACATTGTCAACTGTTTTGCCTATTCGTTACAATTCAATTTAAATATAAACTGATGGTTATTACACGATTCTGATTGTAGCCACAGAAAAGCGATTTCGTATTGTGTTTTTACTATTCGATGAATCTCCTGGACTTTTACTAGAAGTTGCGAAATTAACACCTATCTCTATTGTAGTTCTAAAAAAGGAAAAATCATTATCAAACTCTATTGATAGAACAAAATTTTTCATATTTCAATGAATGGCTTTTTTCCTCTCTCATAAAAACATTTGATCGTTTCGATAACTACGATAACTTCTAATAATACTGACGGATTTTGTGTTCAATGTTAAATTATTTTAACATTTTGTCATCGTGAATTCTTGTTTTGCTTTTATTTATTTGCCTTTTTTTTCTTGATACTCTTATTGTATGAATTCTTTTGGGTGTTATTGTGTGTATATATTACAAAAAATAATAATCACTAATTTACGCATGTATGTATACGTGAGTGTTCAAATAGCATTTTTTTTTTAAAAAAAAAACAACGATAGAGAAAATACGCAATTACGTTAAACAGACCGAAATGCGGGTTACATACAGTACAGCATTTTGAATTTTATTTTTTGATTTTGTATTCAATAAAATGATTCTTTCGAAATAATTGATTGAATTTATTAGTGAATAAATAGTATGTTGTAGTTAGTACGTCTGTACGAGTGTATTAAAACAAAACGACGATTAAAAAAAAATTAAGACAGAGAATAAGGATATCATTTCAAAATTAGTCATTTATAATTCAATGTGATTATGTTTATTTAGTAAAACGTTTTTTTTTTGATCAATAATATCAAGTCATACTATTTTGCTTCAATCTAACTGTAGAAACTTAATGTAGGTAGAGCAAAGTTCGAAATGGAACTAACCTGAAAGGTTGATTGCATTGAAACGAAGAAGTATTTAAGTTTATTGTCAGTATAGGGTTGTGGAGATTGTCGAGTCTTATTAAACTCATGTATTGATCAACATATTAGACCATCATTCGAAACTTAGAACACTGGGCGTCCGTTCCATCCTAGTATGAAACTAATCAGCACTGAGCATCCACGACCTCGCGAGGAGGAATTGGACTCAGAACCTTAGATCTTGTGTGTGAACGCTTAAGCTCTAGACCGAAAACTAAAAGACTAAACTTCTGATGAGACGGAGAATAATTTGATACGGACTTTTATTGAATAGTTCTTAATTTTCTACACATCCTCATGAATGAAAATCATAAAATTTGGCGTTGATGATGTCATCACTTGTAGAGTTACTGTAAGTCAAGAATTTGAATGAATAAATTTTTCTTTACGTGCTGACCATTAATTACAATATTTGTTTTGGCTCGAAATGGAAACATATAACTTCTACTACTTTATCTTTATAGGATAGTGTTCGACCAGACGATGAATATCGACGATTTATCATATCATATCATCTGGGTAATGATATGATATCGATATTTGAAGCTCCAACGAGAAATTCTGGTTTCCCTAGTGGAATATTTCTTAAAAGAACAAGGTAAAACATCAATTAGCTTGTTTTGATAAATTTTCGATATCGATGCTGGTTGATTTGTTTGAAGAAGTCAAAGTACAGTGAACTGCATCAATCAATGTTCAATGTTTTAACAAGGCGTTCATTTGATTTGATCATCATTTTGACTTTGGACAAACTAGTTTATGAAGAAAAACGTTGACGAAATGTAGGAAAATGTCAATGTGTTATTTAGATCAACTTGCTCAACTTGTATATTAAATGGTCAATAACTGTGTCATTTCTACTTGAACCATTTACATACTGTGTTCATGACTCATCTTATTAGGTTTTCATACATTTATTCCGAATCACAACTGGGCAAAGTATTTTAGTTTCTTTACATATGAATCTTGGATTCGAAGAAAGGAACTAAAATAGAGTAGAATAATGATCTCATTCATGAAAATCTTGCTACAACTACGTGTTTGTACATGCTGTAGCAGTACAATGAAATAGAAGATAGAATGATCATATTAGATGAGTAATTCCCATCGTATCACACTATAAATATGTGCATTGTGATCTTGGTCAAGACAATAATTCAATTGTTTGCATTTAAAAACTTATAATTTCTGCCTATCTTATGACTTACTATGTTCTGTTCCGAGTACTTAATGAATCACAGTCAGTGATTGAAACTTAAACTTGTTTTTTATAGTCTTCGTAAATACTTTATATTTAGCGATGGCAATAATTATGCTAATAATTAACTATGAGTCAGAAAATGATGGGAACTATGGCAACCTTAATAGTTGAAAAATACATGAATTACTAATTAATAACATTTCCATGGTTAATCCTTGAGATGCGAAGAAGCATTTCACTTTCCATAACTCATTGATTGTGCGCTTGAAAATGTAGATCTTTTCTAAGTATCAGAATATTGATTAATATATATATATATTCTTGGTCAACCAACATGCCTGCTGCACATGCACATCGCTGCGTTGATATACAGCACAAGGATTCTCACTGATGCCGTCAGTAATCACCCCTGCCCCTTTCGGGTACATACATGTTGTCCGGTTTGGTCTGCAGACATATCGGACATCCAAAAAGCACGCACACGAGCAGTGGCCTCTGCACAGGCACTTATGAATCACAGAATATTGATTAATATATATATATTACTTACTTACTTACGCCTGTTACTCCCAATGGAGCATAGGCCGCCCACCAGTTTTCTCCAACCAACTCTGTCCTGGGCTTCCCTCTCCAGTTCTGTCCAATGTTTGTTCATTCCTCTCATATCTTTCTCTATTTCTCGGCGTAGTGTGTTCCTTGGCCTTCCTCTTTTCCTTTTGCCTTCAGGGTTCCATGTGAGGGCTTGTCTTGTGATGCAGTTAGGTGCTTTTCGTAGTGTGTGTCCTATCCACTTCCACCGCTTCTTCCTGATTTCCTCCTCCACTCGAATCTGGTTTGTTCTCTCCCACAGTTCGTTGTTGCTGATGGTGTCTGGCCAACGAATACGAAGTATTTTGCGTAGACAGCTGTTAATAAACACTTGTATCTTCTGAATGATGGCTTTGGTAGTTCTCCATGTTTCCGCTCCATACAGTAGAACTGTCTTGACATTTGTATTGAAAATCCTGATTTTGGTTTTGTTTGAAAGTTGTTTGGAGTTCCAGATATTTTTCAACTGTAGAAATGCAGCCCTCGCTTTGCCAATCCGCGCCCTTACATCTGCGTCCGATCCACCTTTCTCGTCGATGATGCTGCCAAGATATGTGAAGGTGTTAACGTCCTCCAAGGTATCTCCATCAAGCGTGATTCGGTTGGTGCATGTTGTGTTGCATCGGAGAATTTTGCTTTTTCCTCTATGTATGTTGAGACCTACTGCTGCAGAGGCTGCTGCTACACTGGTCGTCTTCTCTTGCATTTGTTGTTGAGTGTGCGATAGAAGAGCCAGGTCATCTGCGAAGTCCAGATCGTCCAGCTGCGTCCTAATTGTCCAGTTGATACCGTGCTTCCCTCCAGCTGTTGACGTCTTCATAATCCAGTCGATGACCAGGAGAAATAGAAAGGGTGAGAGTAAGCAACCTTGCCTGACACCGGTCTTCACCTCAAAAGAGTCTGTCAGCTGACCTCCGTGCACGATTTTGCAGTTGAATCCATCATAAGAATTCCGTATGATGTTGACTATTTTCTCAGGCACACCGTAGTGTCGAAGAAGCCTCCACAGTGTTTTCCTATCCACGCTATCGAATGCTTTCTCGTAGTCGATGAAGTTGATGTACAGTGGTGAGTTCCATTCAATTGATTGTTCCACAATGATCCGTAATGTATCAATTTGGTCAGTACATGATCGATCCTTACGAAATCCGGCCTGTTGATCTCGAAGTTGGGCGTCTACGAAGTCCTTCATTCTGTTTAACAATACCCTGTTGAAGACTTTGCCTGGTATTGAAAGAAGAGTGATGCCTCTGTAGTTCTCACACTTGCTGAGATCGCCTTTCTTTGGTATTTTGATGAGGTATCCTTCTTTCCAATCTGATGGTACTTGTTCCTCATCCCAAATCTTCTTGAAGAGAATGTGAAATATTTTCGCAGTTGCTTCCACATCTGCTTTCATTGCCTCTGCTGGAATGCTGTCTGGTCCTGCTGCTTTGCCGTTCTTGATTTGTCTGATGGCTATACTGATCTCCTCAATTGTAGGTGCGCCAATATTAATTGGGAGATCCGTGGATGCTGCGTCGATGTTGGGTGTGTTCAGTGGAGCTGGTCGATTCAGAAGTTCCTTAAAGTGCTCTACCCACCTATTTCGCTGTTCGTCAGTGTTGCTGATTATTTTCCCTTCCTTGCTTTTCACTGGTCGTTCTGGTTTACGATAGTTCCCGGCCAGCTTCTTTGTTGTTTCGTACAATTGTCTCATGTTTCCTTCTCTTGCAGCCTTTTCCGCCGTCATTGCTAGATCTTCCACATATTTTCGTTTGTCAGCTCTGATGCTCTTCTTCACTTCCCTGTTTGCTTCTGTATACTCGGCTTGCGCCTTAACTTTCTCTGCTCTTGTTCGGCTGACATTCACTGCTGCCTTCTTGTTCCTCCTTTCTTCAATTTTTGCAAGAGTATCAACAGAGATCCATTCCTTGTGATGGTGCTTCTTGCGACCAAGGACCTCCTGACATGTTGAAGTGATTGCCTCCTTAATCCCTTTCCAATTGTTCTCCAATGTTGCTTCCTCTCCATTGAGTAGATCCTGAAAGGCCTGGAACCTATTGGTGAGGGCTATCTTGAATTCGTTGAGTTTTACGGTATCCCGAAGAAAGGCTGTATTAAACTTCTGTGATGTTGTCTGCCCTGTTGTCCAGTGCTTCTTTAGCTTCAATCTCATTTTGGCGATCAGCAAATGGTGATCTGAAGCTATATCAGCTCCTCTCTTGGTTCTCACATCCTCCATGGTCCTTCTGAACTTTTTTGTTGATACAGATATGGTCAATTTGGTTTTGAGTAGTGTGATCCGGTGAAATCCATGTAGCTTTGTGAATGCGTTTGTGCGGGAATATTGTGCCACCGATGACCAGTTTGTTGAAGGCACATAAGTTTGCAAATCTCTCACCGTTTTCGTTCCTTTCTCCCAGTCCATGTCGTCCCATGATGTCTTCATATCCAGTGTTGTCCATTCCAACCTTGGCATTCAGGTCTCCCATAAGAATCGTCAAATCCTTTGGTGAACATTTCTCGACGATTGACTGCAGCCTTTCGTAGAATTGATCTTTAACGTCGTCATTGTAGTCATTGGTAGGTGCATAACATTGGATGACGTTCATTGTAATGTCCTCTTTCTTCGTTTTGAAGGATGCTTTAATGATCCTGGGTCCATGAGATTCCCATCCTATCAGTGCCTTTTGTGCATGTTTGGACAGCATCAGTGCAACTCCTTGTGTATGTGAAGCATTTTCCTGTTCATGACCAGAGTGTAACAGCAGTTCCCCTGAAGCTAGTCTCAGTTGTCCTACTTGTGTCCAATGCGTTTCACTGATGCCGAGCACCTCGAGGTTGTATCTTCTCATTTCTGCCACAACTTGAAATAGTCTTCCAGTCTCCCACAATGTACGAACGTTCCATGTACCCAAAAAAATGGTTGCTGTGGTTGTCAGAAGAGGCACCGGCCCCGTGACTTCCGAGGGAACTCGGCTTTCATCACGAGACGTCATAATTCTTCTTCCCACTCCCAGGGCAGAGTTAAAATGGTTTGAATTATTTTTTCTGGCTAGCATTTTTTTGGCAAGTTAGTTTTTGACGGAATGGGGTCGCCAACCCCATGTCCAACCCTCCTCCTTTATCCGGGCTTGGGACCGGCAGTAGCCCCTAAGGTTCTACTGGCGGAGTTAATATATATATATATCTTTGCATAATTAAACTAACTAACATCAAATAGAAAAATCATTCTCACTAATGAAAATTAATCATATAGTAAGAAAGCATTCCCTAGTTCTACATCATCACAGATTATGTACAAAATCATTGAACAAAGCAAATTGATTTAAGTTTCTATATATCAGGGAAATGAATGTGAGCTATTGGTAAACAACGACCAGTGTCTATTTGTATTAAGCAGCTATACAAATGAAAGGCAGAATTGAAGATTTATCTGTATACAACCATCGAAATATGATTATTTTAGCTAGGATTTATAATCTTTTACTGATTAACAATTCATACCAGTGAATACATTAGAATGCTAAAATTTTAGAGAACACCTAAGCGAACAATATTGTTTTAGATTAGATTTTCATCAGGCAAATTAACCAAAGAATGAGTGAACATCTGTCAGCATGGTTTATGAAGGGCCAGTTAAAAACAATACGTAGTCCTATCTTAGCACATCTGGTTGGTAGTGGTCATATTGTAGATAAGTCTAGATCTTTTCGGGTGATCTGTCGTATACCTCCATCATTTCTAAACGGAGTTCGATCCCGTCTCATACACATAGCAGAAGCCATAGGAATTCGTACATTCAATCCCAATTTATGTGTTCAGAAGAATTTTGTGACACCCATATCTCTTTCGTGGCCGGATGTGACTTAACTAACGCTTATTTCCACATCCTGTGTTTGTTGGTTATTTTCTGCCTCTTCCCGTTTATATTCTTCACTATCTAATTATGTACACACTTCGTATTACGTAATGGTTTTGATGTTTTGTAATGATTATTTTGAGGCTATTTAACAGCGTTTGACCTACTACTGATAAAACTTTTGTCTTTGAAACCATGAATTGATCAATGTTAGACCACCATTAGAAACCTGGAAGCGCTGGACGGTCGTTTCGTCCTGGTATGGGACTCCTCAGAAGTGCGCAGGAGTCCTGGATCCGCACTTCTGAGGAATCTCTAACAAATTGATGATTATGATTTGGACATATTGTAGTGAAGGAGAACACAGGTGAGGGTAACCGAATTGTATTTATCAAAAATTACAGAGTTAATTGGTAAAATAGGAAAACCATATCGTAAATCGTTAATTTGCAAAACATCAATCCATTGTCTGACATTTCACTTATTCATGCGTTTCATACAAATTCCATTGTGTTCCCACTCTTCCTTTCTTCTTGATCTTCCCCCATCTTCTGCTGCCAGACATTACGTTTTCACTGGCGTCATATACTACTTATGAGTAGCGCGCACCACAATATCACTGTTTATCTAACCAGGATAAACTAATCAGAATGATAACCAAATCTCCATGTTAGATAATTTTATTTTCTGTTTATCATTCATCATAAATGATTGTCTTTCATCTCATGCTTAGATTGTTTCTTTTTGTGTGTTATATTAGAGTGATTAAACCTGGAACTACATTAGATAATCCAATCTATTATGGTCCGGCAGATTTTGCAATCGGCGCCAAAATCGACATATTTGGAACACGTTTCATTATAACAGATGCTGATGAATATGTGATGAAATTTCTTGAAGCGAATCGTGATCAATTTTCTGATGAATTAATCAATTGTTTACGTGAACATTTCAATCAAAAATCGATTAGGGAAAGTAAAGATGTTTCTAGAAGAGAGTAAGTTAAATTTGAAAATCAATGATTTATATGATGATTGATGATTGATATTATTTATGCAGTCAAAGTTGTTTAGATGTTTATTTTTATTAAGCTTACAATTGACAGATCGCATTAAAAAAAACTTCTTGTATGTTTCCCACATAACTAGTCAGGAAACTGGGATGATCTACCAATTAGCTTGTATTATTATTCAAGTTTAAACACTTTTGTGATTATATACACAAAAATCAATGCTGCAACTCACCATGAAAAAACATGTCTCAACATGCACATTATTTGGACATTAACGGTACATACTTGATGAATACGGTTTTAATTCATTTACTCTATTTCATGAACGGTAGAAAATATGGTAAATATTATTGACACATTTGAAATCATCAATCAATCATTGTTAGATCACCATTGGAAACCTGAAATCACTGCAAGACCGTTTCGTCCCGGTATGGGACTCATCAGTAGTGGAATTCAACCCTGTCGGGTGTAGACAGTAACAACCAAAGGCAAATGGGTGAGGTCGCGCAAAATCCCTTAATCAATCAGAGTTAGACATTACCACCTTTGGATGCCAGCCCAGTGGTCCAGAGGTTAGGCATTCGCACGCAAGACCGAAGGCCCCGGGTCCGAATCCTGTGAGGTGCTGGAGTTGTGGATGCGCACTGCTCCAGTGCTTCCAGGTTGCCAATGGTGGTCTAACAATGATTGATTGATGATTTCAAATGTGTAAAAACACTAATCTTCATAACTCTAATTGAAAATATTATTGAATCCAATAAAACTTACCATTAAAATACAATTCAAAAATATCATATGATTCTTCCAAATGTACGCTTATAAACCAGAAACCTGAATTAATAGATCGCCTCCATTAGGTCGTAATCATTTAGAAGTGGATGAATTGTACCATTAAATCATATCGTTTCGCTTAGTAGTCCGTCACATAACCGAACTCTCTGGACGGATATAGATTATAAGTTTGCAGTTGATAAAGTGATATTATTTATTCCATGAAGATCAATTAACATGATGTTTTGAAGTCACAGTAACAACTTATACAACCTGTAATGGCCCGCGATCAGTCTGATATTTACGAATGATCGAGTATTCGATGCGATAAATCTTCCCTTTCATCTCCGTCGTATTTGTGCGACGGCGGTGATAAGAAGCCGTGTACGGTTCTGTGAACGAGTCTATTCCATTACATTCATTCAATCACATAAATGAGAATGAAAAGCGTACAAACAAAGCAAAGCAGAGAAAACAGTGAGTCATCTCAGTGTGATGAAGCATGACAAAGTGTATTTCTAGTCAGATAAAATAAGCTAGAACACAGTTGAACTTCGGTTATGAGCTAATAATGGACAAGGTCGAAAGACAAGTGAATAATAACTCGAGGAGAATGGATTGATCAAATTTTTCAAGGACTGAGATAAGCCCTGTAGGCTCGACATAAAAGTACCCACACTACAAACCGCTTAAAAAGTGTTCACAATTTATTAGCAGTTCTGAATTTTACAAGCCTGATTATTTCATCTATGAAAGTGAATTCGTTCACAGTACTTAGATTATGGTATTTAGTTTTTCATATAGCTAATTTATTCAAATATTATGCGGATTGAAATTTGAACAAAGATAATCCTTCCTAGTATGTAGATATATGTATGAGCTGAATAGATTTTTATGAATATTTGAAATTTATTGAGAATATGTCTATGCAATTCATTGGTTTGTATACTAAATATGCCGGACTGTTAAAATATTTTACAAATATGACATTTTTACATGTATACTACTAATAAGAGGTGAATGTAAACTGATAACTAGATGTTTAGTTTATTCGGTATTAGCTATAGTTGGGAATTAGGTAATGAAATATATTAATATCTGTTTTCGGTATATTCGGGAATGTCAGTCGGTCAGTTGCAACGTAGAACTTCGTACGTATGTACATAAGTTCATGTTGCCATACCACATTAGCACAGAGACGCAAATGTCAAATCAAATCCCATAGTGATAAAGATAGTAGAGGTATCAATGTTAATAAAGAAGACTAGGGTTCGAAGATATTATTCAGAAAGTATAATTCAGTGAGATAAGGTTACAAAGACAAAGGTAGAGGTGCTGACGAATCCAGAAGATTTGAGAGGATTTGAGAGAGCTCAAAGAGTGGATGCACCTGCGCCATTGCAAACGATTTTGAGCCATGTCATTCAAAGTCTCTAACCATTGATTGACTTTCGTCTCGCGGACCCCAACCAGGTAGTCTACATCTACCAACATGACTCAGTCCATTCGGGAATGTAGTTAAACCACATGAATGCATCAAGACCTACGTGATCTAAAATCTAGGCCTATTCCAACGCTTTTCAACATCTTGAAAACATAACTACTGTGTAAGGTTATACGATATATATGTTGCTAAGACACATAGATGTATGAGGATAAATATCTTAATTATAGTTTAAGAAAGTATCAAACATTCGACGTTCATACTGCACAGTCGAACAATTTCTCTAACACTAATCATGTGAATTATGACAACCAAGTACTACTACTGTATACAAATTATCATTTTAGTTAATTCAAAAAAGATTAAGCTCTAATTATCTGTTAACTTGGAGTTAGATAAATGGGAAATGAATGAACAAAACAGACGAATAATACAATAATGAGATTAATACAGACATATTACATCCATCCAACTGCACATTCGTCTAGAAATACAGGATCTGATCATGTCTATTAAGTATGTGGTGGCCAATTTCTACTTGTTCTTAATCTTCGTAATTAACTCGTCCAGACAATCGTTACTAAATAGCGTCTGACGGTTTATAAATCAGAAGGTAAACTCGAAGTGTTGAATATGTTTATTGTGGCATACCATAAATTTCGGATAGCAGACTACAAGCAGACCGGGCAGGCACACTAGTGAGCGAATATGCGAGTGAGTTAATAAGATTAAAATGTCAGCCAGTAAGAGTCAGTCAGATGCAACGTAGAACTTCGTACGTAAGTACATCAGTTCATGTCGCCGCCATACCACATCAGCACAGAGATGTAATTGTCAATTCAAATCCAATAGTAGAAGGGGCAGTAAAGGTATTAGGAGTAATCGGAGAAGTTAGGATTAGAAGATATTATTCAAGAAGTATGGTGCAGTGAGAAAAGTTTAGAAAGTCAAAACTAGAGGGGTTGAGGAACCCAGAAGATTAGGATTTGAGAGGACACAAAGCATAAATGCACCGGCGCCATTGCGAACGATTTTGAGCCATGTCATTCAAGGTCTCTAACCATCGATTATTATCATCTCGCGGACCCCAACCAGGTAGTCGACAATTACCGACATGGCTAAGTCCACTCGTCGATGACTTCATGGATTTCTGCCATGTTTTGGTTTGGCCGCCCCTAACTTTCTTCCAACCTATTCCTATACTACAAAACAGAGCTCGACGAGGCAGTCGGTGGTTGGGCATACGCAACACATGTCCCAACCACCTCAACTGATTAAGTTTCATTACTTCATCAAGATTAAGATGTTCGTTTATATACATAGGAAAATGCCTGAGTCGTCGTGATATTTAAGAGATAAATATCGAAGCGAATAGGATGCATATGTGCGTAGGCGTTAAGCAATGTTCAGTCATATCGGCTCATACAAACCACACAATAATAAAAGCCAATGGTACATATAAGTTATTGTTTTACAAATGACTTGGTTAAATAAATTAATCGAAAGGGCTTAACCAGATTAAATGTAAGCGAACTGGAATATAATATGTGCAGGCACTACAAGTGCAATAGTGCATCAATTCTGTTGATTGGTCTTCAGTCCTGTGTCTAATTCAAACGCCTTACATGTGTAAGGTTGTGTAAAGATAACCATCCTTTTAGTGTTCAACTAAAGTTCAACATAGGATATTTTAGAATATTCTTTCGTTTTGTGACAGTTGGTATTCAATACATTCCTAGACTACGTATACTGCTCGTCTTGATAACAGTTACCGGATAACGCCCAACATTGTATAAATCAGAAGACGATTACGAAGCATTGGAAACGTTTATTGTCGCACCACACATATCAAAAAACCACAAGCATACGATGTGAAAGTGAAAATGACATGAGAGTCCCGAAAAGCAAGCAAGCAAGCCAGTGAGCGTACTCGTGAATAGGATTAAAATGCACATGTATATATACACATGTGCTCATCTCAACTTATTGAATGAAAAAAGCAGGTGGAGCAAAATTAGAACTTAAAAGGAAATCTTTTTAGTGAAAACTATGATTTTATAAACAACAGTCAAATACACTGAATGAATTGAACAATGCTAGATATTTCATATTGAAAAGTAGATGGTTACAAATAAAACTTAACAATCTTCACAACAACCACGCAATGCAATGACATGTGTCCACTAGTGACTAGCTTGGTGAGGAATCTTCTCCGAGTTCTAGCGGGAAGTCGTGACCAGTGAAGTTCAAACCTGTCTGGATGTATACAGGGTATGAGGTCGCGCAACTCCGTGGATCTGATCAAGTTAGACATTAACACTGTTAGAAACCGGCTCAGTGGTCTAACGGTTAGGGCGTTCGCGCACAATACCGAAGGTCCTGGGTTCGAATCCTGCGAGGAGCAGAAGTCGTGGATGCGCACTGCTGATGAGTCCCATACCAGGACGAAACGGCGGTCCAGTGCTTCCAGGTTTCTAATGGTGGTCTAACATTGATCGATTCATGGTTACAAATGAAAAGTAGATGTGTTATAAACTCATGGACACGTATCCTTATTACTTGTCGCCATCAATTCGTGTTTGTTTGTTTGACTACCTGTGACAAAATGGAAGGAGACAGTATTAGTTCAAATTCTAATAGTCTTTTTTGGGAACATGATCATGTTCGACAACAGTAATGAATTGAATCATTCAATGAACACATCCAATTATATCGATTTCAGTTTATCGAATATATTAGGAAACATTGCAGAAAAGAATCAGTTTGTCGAAATTTTGTCCATTATCAACTATTGTTATCGAATACATAAATCTGTGTAACCGTTTTATTTTATAAACGTCATGGATCTTCTGATTAACAGGCAGTTTGGTGTGTGTATGCTAACTAATCCTAGTACACAAGTGACTGTGAATTGATAAACTGAAGTTCTGCCTTAGTTTGAATTTTTCTATGAAGTACACCGTTTAATAGTGGAAAACAGTTAGTTCTGTAGCTATAGATATCTCGCTGTTATTCTAAACACTTCCATTTCTATGATCTATCTTACTTACATCTCAGGTGTTAGTCACTGTTTCATATCACACATCACATTGTACGTAATGAAAAACGATTCCGATTCCTATCAAATAACCAATCCGACAAAGTTAAGTATAATCTTCATATTGCAGAAAGCAGTCAATGCACGGTCATGGTGTATTTCAGGTGAAACTATGACTGACACACCTTTCTCGAGTTTGCCTTATTTATTCCGCGGTTTACATCTTGACTATACTGTAAATATCAGGTGTATCAAATATTGAAGTTTTGTTTTTTCAGGAAAAATCTAATGACACAATAAACAATGACTATCGCATTCGGTTAATTCTATTATGTGGGGCTTTTTCTTTTTTTTTTTTTTTAGCGTTGATGATATTAACCATACAATGAATGAAATAAGAATACAATTAAAGAAAATGTCAATTACAGACAAATGCAGAATTGATGATATGTTCCTAACATATGATAAAGATAGGCAAGGTTATATTGACATTGAAAATTTGAAAGATATGTGTAAGAAAATTCATATTCCACCAGATGAGGATGCATTGAATGCAGTAAGTTATTGACTTTGATAATAATTGATTATGGTGATAAACGGTTAGTTAGTTATTTACTTACTTACTTACGCCTGTTACCCCCCAATGGAGCATAGGCCGTACGACTAGTTTTCTCGAACCAACTCTGTTCTGGGCTTCCCTTTCCAGTTCTGTCCAATTTTTGTTCATTCTTCCCATATTTTTCTCTATTTCTCGACGTAGTGTGTTCCTTGAGGGTTCCAAGTGAGGGATTGTCTTGTGAAGCGATAAACGGTTACTTTATTCAAATAGCGGGTTATTTTTGGAAGGGATTTAGAGAATATGTTTTTGTGAAAATGTAAAGTTTGGTCAGATTTTTATGAGACAAAGTTCATAATGTCACTATATATTTGTTACGACTGAGATGTGATGGTGGCCAGCGGTCTCGAATCGCTAGACACAATTCCGTTTATTCTTCTACACCGCGTCACCCATTCAATTTGAGGTAATACAATCTCAATTCCTATTGGTCCGCTAATAAGCGTGCCTTCGTCTTTCCCTAGCGTTGAGTCTGAAAGAAGACAAGCATCTATCATTAATGTTCGAAGTACTCATGAGTTTAACATAATAGAGCCCACAGCATGAAACGGAAAATCATTGTTACGCAAAAACCGGTCAAAGATGTTTGACCATTGGATCGGTGATTTGAAGGTTACACGCTCATGGTGATACCTAAATATCCTGGGTCCACTCCACGATGAGGTTATGAGCACAAACTAATAGGCAGTTTCACACTAGGGTGATATAGTACCTCAGTACCTCATAGGTCTGATTATTTCATCAACTAAAGTCGAACCGCTCGTAAAGTTCTATGATTTAGTTAGTTACTGAAGAGATTTTGACGTGGATACCTAATTCCAAACAAACTGTTGGAGTTTATGTTGACATAAAGTGTGAATTATGATGAATTTGATTGGTTTCAGTCCGGAACTAGTAATTTCATTAAAGTCTCACTCGCCTTCGGTTTAAAAACATTCCGCACAATAATTATAAAGAGTATTACTTAAAGTTAGAAGTCATTTGGACAATTGTTTATCAAACAGATCAAAAAGGACCTTATAAATGTGGAACTAGATAGTTTGCGGTATCGTTTATTAATAATTGTTTGATCTGTACCAGAACAATCGCCAGTTAATGACTGACTTATTGTGATACGCTGTTTTTAGTGAGTCATACTGTAGTGAAGAGAACACAGGTGGGGCAACCGAATTGCATCTAACGAAAATTACAGAGTTACTCAGTAAAATCGGAAAACCATATCGTAAATTGTTCATTTGCAAAATATCAGTTCATCATATCGAACTGGACTGTTCCTGTTGCCAAACATCAATCCATTGTCACTATTCATGCGTTTCATACAAATTCCATTGTTTTCTAACTCTTCGTTTCTTGATCTTCCCCCATCTCCCACTGCCAGACATTACGTTGACGCTCACGTCATATACTACTTATAAGTAGCTCGCACCACAGCACCACAATACTAGTGGATAATTATATACATTTCTCATCAGAGTTATGGAGATTGTTGTTTAGTATTGAAATCACGAACCAATCATTTGTAGACCACCATTAAAACCTGAAAGAGCTGGACAGACCTTTTTGTCCTGGTATGGGACTCATCAGAATGCGCATTCGCGACGCCCGGAACTCCCAGGACTTTCGGTTTTGCGCGCGAACGCTTAACCCCTGGACCACTGAGATAGCACCTAACAGTGTTAATGTCTAACTCACCTATTGTCTTACTTAATTACTATTATTTTTTTTCTAATCTTTTTAGTTGCTTGATATCTATGGCACTGGAAGAAAAATGTCACTAGAACAATTTAGAAGATTTTTTGACCCAACATACTTATGATGGAACGAACATGAACAATAATATAATTATGATAAAACTAAGTTTGTGCCCTTGTTAAGTTGATTTAGAAGAGTCGATTAAGACACTAAATTCCCGATTTCTTTGAGTTTGCAAAACAATACTACTTAAATATACACACATATGTGTATGTGTAATTCTTTGCGCACGTTAATTTATGGTCAAAATTTCTAATCGAAGAGATCATAAATAATGCAATTGAAATTACGTCAACACTTGATACTTACTTATACAATTTAATTGATGAAATATTTACGAAATATGAATTATCTGCAGCTAATAGAAATTCTGACTATACTGATTTAAAAAAAAAAGAAGCATCTGTATTGAATACGAATAGAATACTGAATTGTGGGTGGTCTTTTTGAAAATAGGTATTCTAAACTAGCAAAATGATAGTTAACAGTGAATCTGTCAAGAGATATCTATGCTCTTATCTAGACGGTTATTTGAAAACTTTCCCATCAAGCTGACATTTAGGTATTTGATTAGATTTTGTAATTTAAAGTATTTATTATCCAATGGTGATAAGCTTCAAAGGTCGATCAATTCATTTGTGTCAGGTATATATAACACATTTGTCTGTAAAGAGATAACGGCGCCTAGAAAATTCGATTCAAGGTTGCAGAACATGTCAGATCAGAAAACACGACGTAAGTTGAACTGACCTTGGACCGAAACTGTTATTTTTATGTAAAACCTGATTCTATGTGCAAATGAAATATGCTACTCCTAGTCGATTAAGTTTAAGACGGAGTTCTTCACTTGATTTCCGCATAGCAGTTGCTTCTGCTACTACTTAATGACAACTCTTTAACTATGGTATCTTCAAGGTGTTACAATAAGAGTAGACTGTTCGTCACAACAATCTCCGATACCTATAAGTCGAAATCGTAACACAATAACATTTCATATGGTAGAAAATACGACCTCGATATATAGAATAAAAACAGCAAACTGAAAGAAAAGTAATCAGCCAGATAACAGTAGAGATTAGATGAGTTGTGTAAATTGAAGAATATTAACAGCAACCAAAAAATACACTACTTTAAACAGGTAAATAATGCGTACTATTCCATTGTCGAACTGAGAGTTGGATTAGACAATCACTTTCATGAAAGTAGAAAGTGCGAGAACTGCTCTCTAGCTTTCATAGAGAAAAATGTACTTTGATTTTTCTTAATACGTAACTATTTTTAATGAAATAATAGCTAGTGATGGAGTAGGTTCTTGAAATAGCAAAATGAGTACTCGTTCGATTAAAAACACATGAAAAAGGCTATCTATGGAAATCCAAATATATAAGTATATTATGAATTGTTTTTCTTTGAAATCTACGACACACATGGATGACCTATAGACTGGAGCACTGTAAGAGAAATGGTTAGATATCGCACTTATACAGTAATCTAAGTATCAATGTGGAGATTTTATCAGAACATTCGTTCTTGATGAAATCTTGAAATGATACACCATACCTTTTCTAGTGAAATCATAGGAGTGTAGGTCATCTACTCCTTTCGACTGGGAACGGTATATTATTTCGGTTTGCTACATTCGGAAAAACCTGAATAGGTGTTAGGTTTCCACAAAATACTGACTGATGATTTAAGATGTGTAGCAATGTCTTAAAATTAGAATCTGATAGAATTTGGATTGATGAATCAGTAGTAGGAATAAATTTCTCGATTTTCCCAGTTTCTGAATTGATACTTATCAGAGTAATGACGGATTGCTAGTGTTTATTCGGTTTCACTAAATTGTTTAAACTTCGTGAGAACTTTTCGAAGTAGATGATTACATATCAATGTTTGTAAATGATTTTCAATGAGAGACTATAAAATTCGTAAACTGCTTATCTGATAAGTTATATTTAAGTCTTACAGAGGATCTCTACGATGATGTCACTTTCAAACAAATAACTCCTTAAGTTACTTCTCATTTATCAGTGAGATCAATATGTATTTAAAACTCTAAAAACCGCTTTCATGTTATTCAGTGATATTTCCAAAAACATGATGTCAACCATATGAGAAAATACTTCGATTTATTATTCTCACTTTTTCCAGGTGTCTATATCTACAAAAAAATCAAATTAGTTTAGAAATGTAGCCTTATGGAACCATAGGTATATGAATACTACTAGTGTTATATTTCTTTGATTGGAAGAACCTTTGTAGTAAAAACGTGCTCAGATTTTTTTTAAACACGTTACAGCGTTCGCTGTGAAAGTGAAATCAATTCAGTTTACTCAGTACTTTTCTCACAAGTATTTTGTTGAATCATCTCATTGTAAGAGTTCTGGCCCTAAACAAAAGACAGATTAATCAAATCGAGCGATGTTTATAGCATTATAAAAATCTAATATAAGAAGTACAATAACCATGTTGTTAAGTGTTTGCAAGTTGAGAATTTAAGAGTACCAAATATATGTTTTATTAAAATTAGTAATACGATGCGTTTAAACCGTGTAGTAAATAGATAGAGATAAACAAGGGATTTACAATCTTAAAAGTAAATCCTTGACAATAACAAAAAGACGCACAAAGTAAACTATATGCCGTTTGGAGACAGATCAAAGGCGAAAGAAATATACTTCCTTTCAAAAATGCAAGATTTAATTTTCTGTACACCACACAGCAGACATCCAGAAACTGGGGAAAAAAAAACTGGTAATATCCGTAAAACTTATTCATGAACGCTAAAAATATGAAGTTCCAACTGTAAAAATGCAATGCACAACGAAAAAAAAAGGACAAAATATCTAAAGGATTCGTGATAACAGCAATTGAAATGGACAGTCGAACGAAAGTAAAACAAAGTACTAAAAACAACAAGATTGACCAAAGTATCTATCGTATCGCCTAGAAGAATATTCAAAAAAAAAATTTAAGGACCAGTATACTAATGTTATGTTCACCAGTTTCAAAGGCAGATAGATAGATAGATAGATAAGGATGGAAAAAATTTTGCCAGTGAATAGGAATAAAATGAAGTTCTCAAAATTAACGGATGACAGAATAAAAATACATGATTCAGTCTTTTTTGTTTATTGATTACAATCAAAAAAAAATGATTGATGAGAAAAACAGTGAAGAAACATGTATACGTATACATCTCTCTGTACACAAGTAAATTATATGATTATAAGAATTATATTTATCAGTAGTGATATTTAATGTATATATATATATATATATATATAATTCGTAAATGCAAATGTTGACAAGAAATAAGAAAAAAAAAGCAGGAGAATATACAATTCTTTGTAAATAATGAATGCGTATAGTAGTAAGCAGTAGTAGAGATATCAAGTCATAAATCTTGATGAATATAATATATATGGAAAGTGATAATAATTTTGTAATAATGATAGTAATGATAATAATAATAATATTGCAAATTATGTCGATTAAAATAAGCGATATATTGATGATGATGATGATGATTTTTTTGATGATGAGTATAACAATAGAAAAAAGTTAATGTTCGATGTCAGAAATGATAATTAAAAGAAAATTATATCCAATTATGTTTGATGATTGCATACATGATTGAATGAAAACAGTTTATAATGTGAATATTATCAAATTTATACAGCATATATAAATGCTGCCAGTATATTGAGGGATTGTGTGTTCATGTCAGCTGTGAAATGATTACTCTCTATTTTAATAGATATTTTAAAAGATAAGTTATAACGAGCGAGAGAGAGAGAGAGATAAAAAAAAAGATTTCTGTAATTCTAAATATAAAGAAGATTTCTCGGAATAATCAAAAGCAATTTAAAGGAAGCTTTGTTCAAGAGAAATAGAAAATAAATAACTGCTGCTTAACAAAAACAATTTGTCGTTTCAAGTATATAAATTGCAACCAAACAGAAGTGTGTGTCAATTCTGAACATCGGGCGATGTAAGAGAAGCTGCCAAAACTTTTTCATGTAACCGGAATCGATCAACTATCAGTGGTCTAACATCATCCTGAAGAGAAATGTAGAAATAATTGAATTTTTAAAATGATTAAATGATCACAATAACAGATTTTTTTGCCGGATAGATAAAGTGAAGAAAACACTGAAGCTGAACGGTAGTAAATAAAACTAATTTACTCGGATATTAATATGTTTGTAAGTATCGACACAAATATATGATTACTTTGAATTATCATATGACACTTATCTATGAACCATTACAAAGTTATTTAAGCTCGACAAAGTCTAGCCACACTTTGTATTAAGTTTTCAATGATCGATTGATTATAATCTAGAATATTAGCAAAAGTGACAAATATGTAAAACACCAATAGCATGTTACGGAAGAAGTTACCTTAATTTCACGAGACGAAATTTTCAATTGTCAAAGGAACACACCGATGTAATGTGGCTGACTACGAAACAGTATTATTGACGTGAGCTCCCGAATGATTAGAAATTCAAGGATAAGAGCACTAGCCCACAGATGAACAAGTTTTTCATGTAATAAAATAACATACTTATCCACAGAATATGAACACAAAATAAGTATGATAGATCCTCATATGAAATAGGCGAAAACTAGTTTGTAGATGATCTATTCTTTGAACAATTACAGACAGATCCTTAGGTCCGATTTCGAGGTATCATAGTGAAACAAGCTATATATATTTTAGGTTTTCAGGTGGACTATTGATTACTAACTGATTAGAATCGAGAACCAAATGGTGTAAAATCATTGGTGTCAGAATTACCAAAACATAATTTCACAAGAACTAATTAGTAGAAATTACAGTAAAACATGGTATTCAATTTAGACTGGTTTCAGAGTGTCACATAAAGCATTACCGTAAATTCTGAAAAAAAATTGGTGTAGGGCGAAAACGTTTGGTTAAAATAACTGCTAAGCATAAATAAATGTAATACACACTTACGGCTTTAGTTATTTCTTTCAAAAATGGAATAAGCTTAAGAAGCTCACAATCATTTGAATCCACAAACCAACTCTCGATTGGAACACCATTATCCAACTAGGAATGATATGACAATGCAAAGATTCATCCATCATAGATATTATATATTAACATTTATTTAACATCAAAAAAAATAAGAAATAACTGAATATGTTCTGAATTGAATTATATACATATAGACTACTATTACTTAGCAATAAAAGCGCATATAAAAATGCTCGGAGTTTCCCACTCGCCATACTAGTGTAAAAAAAATCATTTCACTAATAAATGCGAACAAGTTAAAAGAAAACTTGTAACATTAAACAAAAATATAAAGCATATGTATTGTATAAAACTAACGACTAGTTGGTGTAACACAGATGACCATAAATGAAATAGTCAAAAATGTAATCGGGGGACATGAGTGTTTATTCTTGAGGTTGGTGTAATCAAGAAGCCAAACACAATTTTCAGAGGTGAATGCGCTGAACGCCAGAATTCCATCACTTACGTAGGTCGCCATCATAAAGTCATGAATGGTAATAGGTTAGCATCAAATGAAGTAGCAAATGTTGGTAAAAAGTGTAGGTATGGCAATGTTATAAACACTGAGGGAAACATCCTTTTAAAGAATTTTGACAAGACACTGGAGTCCGTCGAAGTCATAACGAACTGACTCAGGTTAAGACAAAGAGAAAAAAAAACTTTTCTAACGGAGATAAGAGGCCAAATAAATTAGTTCCCAGCATAAGAAATTGAATGGTGTCAAGCACTTGTGAATCCAAAACAAATACAAAATACGAAGCCCGACCGTAGCTGCTACCTTGACGTGGTGGTCGGGCTTGCCTATCGTGATGACCCAACCGAGCTATATTGGGTGGAACATATGTTCCTCAAGTTTCTACCATGCCAGGCAGGTCGATTGGAGAACGATGAGACTAAAAGCAGCTACCCAAGGTCTGAGGGCGAAGTCGTACTGCTGACTGCAGAGGGGTGTGACAGCAGTAAGGTGTTTCCCTCGGACAACCAGCATCTGCAGCGATGCTGCCTTCTCACAAGGAAGGAAGGGTTAGAAAAGGTCGGCCCTAAAAATGTCACACCTCCCCTAGCTCACGGATTTCCGTCTCCTTGGGTAAGGGTGCCCACTAAGGGCCTTTAAGAACGGAGCTAATCCGCAAAAAACATTTCATAAAAAGGCCGTGCGTGACCGGCCTGAAGCAGTTGTCCCTTGGGCTCTGCGGTCACGCGCCAACACTAATCTATCTTCCTTTTCAGGTTCCTCAAGAAACAACCTTCCACGGTGTGGGCAGCCGGGAAGTGACAACCGCCCTCATACCCGTAACAGCACGCGAGACCAAATTGGTCAAAATCAAATCCTTCCTACACCCCCTTGTACCTCTCTTATCTCCACGACTAACTCTTCTCACATTCATTCATCACAATGCACAGCTAATGCAGACGATACGAGTTCGCGAAACGTCGTTCCTGGTCTCCTTAAACCTCGCTCTAGACTACATGTTGGAGCATTTAATGTACGGACATTGTGTCAAATAGGGCAACAGGCTTCCTTAGCTAGGACTTTAGAAACTCGTGCCATCGATGTATGCTGCGTCTCGGAAACGTGCATACAGGATTCTAGTAAAATTATTAAACTGATTTCACCTTGTCAAAAAGAAGCAGCTCGATTTACTCTTCGTGTATCCGGTAGCCCTGATGCTGCTTCCCGGGGTCTTGCTGGCGTAGGCATAGCATTGAGTCGTAGGGCAGAACAATCTCTCCTTGACTGGATCCCAATAGATAGTCGATTGTGCGCTGTCCGACTAAACGGGACAGTAAGGACTCGGAAAGATAGGGACAATCGCCGTTGCCTCTTCATCGTATCTGCCTATGCCCCCACTGAATGCAGTTCAGACGAGGTTAAGGATGAGTTTTACAGAAAGCTCTCGGACCTCCTCCAAAAAGCTAGGCGCTCTGATATAGTAATAATGGCTGGTGACTTTAATGCTCAATTAGGTAGACTAAGTGAGCAGGAGAGACACCTAGGTGGATGTTATGGTGTCGCGGCTCAGAGAACAGACAATGGTGACCGTCTGTTGCAAGTATGCTCAGACAACCGCCTATTCTTAGCAAACACTAACTTTAGGCATAAGGAAAAGCATCTGTTGACCTGGCGACCTCCAAAGTCGTCTCAACGTTGGACTCAACTAGATCAGCCACCGATGGAGGGGTTCGATAGAGGACTGTCGCTCGTTCTGGAGCACATGTCTAGATTCAGATCATGCCCTAGTGCGAGCGCGTATTTGTTTGAAGCTTACTGGGCGTAGGAAAGACACCGTAAGAAAGCCTCTTAGGGTTTTACTTAATGATAATAAGGCGAAAAATATATTTCAGGAACAACTAGAAAGACAGTTAGGCGACCATTTAAGCGATTCCCATCCGGAAGCAGGATGGAATGATATCAAAAAGGTTGTGGAAACAGCAGTGATATCTGCTAGTAAGGTTGACCATAAGGCTAGAATGAAACCGTGGATCTCAGCAGCGTCCACCGATCTGATGGATGCCCGAAAACTCATCCCACCTGGCTCTGAACATGATGAAGAACGAAGTCAACTTAGGCGCAGACTTATAAAAAGCCTACGTAACGATCGCGAACAGTGGTGGGTGGCGAAAGCAAAAGCGATGGAAAAGACAGCGGCGATCGGCAACACTAGACAACTTTTCCGACTTATCAAGGAAACTGGTATTAGGAATCCTAGTGTAAGTGAGACTATCTCAGAAAATGACGGGACTATTATTTATTCTCAATCCAGGAGACTGGATCGATGGGCAGAACACTTTAGGGATCAGTTCAACTGGCCTCGAGCCACTCTTCAGTTACCCACGATCTCCAGTCATCCTGAATGGCAAATCGACGTAAGTCCCCCCTAGTCTTAATGAAGTTGAAAAAGCAGAAATCCATGAAGTCATTGACTAGTGGACTGAGCCATGTCGGTAATTGTCGACTACCTGGTTGGGGTCCGCGAGATGATAATAACCGATGGTTAGAGACCTTGAATGACATGGCTCAGAATCGTTCGCAATGGCGCCAGTGCATTTATTCTTTGTGTTCTCTCAAATCCTAATCTTCTGGATTCTTCAACACCTCTAGTTTTGACTTTCTAAACTTTTCTCACTGAATCATACTTCTTGAATAGTATTTTCTAATCCTAACCTCTCCGATTATTTCTATTTCCCTTACTACCTCTTCTACTATTGGATTTGAATTGACGATTACTTCTCTGTGCTGATGTGGTATGGCAACATGAACTGATGTACTTATGTACAAAGTTCTACGTTGCATCTGACTGACTGACTCACAAAATACGAAGTGTATAACAATCCTTTTAAGATATATTAGCTTTGCATCAGCATGATATATGAAGCGAAATTGATATAACAATTCCAAATAAGTCGTATTATCTCTGATTATGCTGAGCATTTCGATTGCCTAACACTTCTCACTGAGAGCAACTTCTAGGAAACGCTCTACTGCACACTACTTATTAGCCATCTTATGAGTAGCATCCACCACACTGGTACATATGTACATCAGCTCAAATTGTCATACTTCTTTAGTACAAAGAGAGACGAAATTTTCAGGCCAAATCCCAGCGTAGTATATACAATAATAGTATCTATCGTAATAAAATAGATTGGGGATCAAAGATACAATTCAAGAAAATATAAATCAGTGAAATAAAAACAAGTAAAATTATGAGAGATTCAGCTTAGGATTTAGAGGAAGACAAAAAATGAATGCATCTGTGGGATTGCAAACGATTTTGAACCAAAGTCTCTAACCACTGATTACGATTATCACGCAGACCTTAACTAGGTAGTCCATGCATTAACATAGCTCAGTCTGATTGTCGATGACTTCATAGACTGGAACCATATTTTGGTAGACAACGTGAGGTCTGAAACTATGATCGTACGGTATGGAGCCACTTATAATATAAGTGACTTTCATGTATGCTTTAATTATCTACATGAACTGATAATCGGTGGTATTTTCATCTTCGACATCATTCAGTAACCATAAGTCTTGAGTGCTGACCGTCCTCATATTTTCATAGATTTACCATTATGTGCGGTATTATTGGCACAAAAAGCTAACGGTTATATCACCATGCACAGAGTTAGGTCAACACTAAAAACCAAGATCTGTCAACAAATTTGAACTGTATGATCCATAGATTTCATATAAAGCAAAAACCTCCTTATGTAGGATGATTAAAGCGACTGTAATGGTAGGGAAATGAAAGTAGAAACAATGCGGAAACGACGTTAGCCACGCATAACCTTAGACCGATGAGGGAATGAACGGAAAAATTAAATAAACACAAAGGATACTACCAATTATACGTCTAAACTGATAGAAGTAACTAAATGTAATGATATAGAAGAAAACGTTTCTAACTAAATAATGTAATCACTCAAAATACTTATTAGGAGTAATTATTCACACTAAACTGAATACCTGATAACCGAATGCCTGCGGAGAATTGTCAATAATCACAGTCTTGCGGAGGTCCCGACCTAGGACTCGTAAGTCTTTGACGTAGTTACCATTCACACAGACACAGTGTTCACGGAATAATCTATGCCTATAACGAGAAAAATTATGTGCAATATAGTACTTATGTCTAATTCAAACAAGTTCTTACAGAAAAAAACTGGAACCTGGTACCAAACAAAAACAGAATACGATGTAAAAGTAAAAACAACTCTTCGAAAACAAGTATATTATTGAAAAGACTAACAGAATTAGAATTCTTTAGTATGACATCACTGAGTTGCTTGAGTAGCTAGATTACAACAATGGAAATTTATTGAACACCTAATCACGAGTGAAGCAATATGGTAAGGCATACGTAGCCATATAACCATGTCTGTAATAACTAAGAATGGCTACCTTCTAAAACGTTTGAAACAAGTAATATATTATTTTCGATGAGGACTAACTGAAACTGGAAATTGAATCACAGTACTTAGTCTTAAAAGTTTCAGTGGCATCTAACGTACGATCGAGTAAGAAATACTTGACTCAAATAACCACCAACAAGTTAACAGGGTGGAAACTGGGGGGCGGCCTATGCTCCATTGGTGTTAACAGGCGTAAGTAAGTAAGTAGGTTAACAGGGTAACTGCGAATCAATGTAATAAATTTTAGGTTTCATAATCAACGAGAAAATCATGATAAAGTGAACTGTAATTGATAATAAGACGGTAATACAAGATAATAAACGTCAAATAGATGATTGACAGATTAAAAAAAACGTACTTGATCCATTTCTTTTTGGGATCAATCAAGTTAACAAGACGATCAGCGTATACTTTTGTGCTGGCTGTAAAAAGCACAACCTCGAAATATTCAGAAACATTGGAAAGAAATTCGTATAAGTGTGGTCGAATTCGAACGTATACCTGGATAGGGTAAAACAGTTGCAAAAATCGACATTGAAATACATAATAAGTTCATGATCTTAGCATCCGTGTAAACATTTTAAATCGAAGTAAAGGAACATACAAGTGATACAATGAAAAATGAAAACGAATACTGAAAAATTAGTTTTGAATATGATTTCCAAGAATGAGAAGCAAACAATAAAGTTTTCCTAATTGTAGTCATCATTGAGTTTGTATGATATTGCCAAGGTGCTCGACTAAAACAGGTGATTTTCTTAAGAATTCACTTTAAGGGAGTGGAAAAATTCCGAGAGTTGCAATCGCATGGTAGCCGTCGACCAACAAGAGGTTCATAAGGTATGTGTGATCAGAATACTGGAGCGTACTGAAGTGTATTTTGTGTTCATATTCTGTGGATAAGTGCTATCTTATTACATGAAAAATGTATTCATCTGGCCGGTGGTCTTGTTCTTAATTTCTAATCATTTGGGAGCTCACGTCAATAATGTGGTCACCAGTCAGCCACATTACACCATTGTGTTCATTTGTCAGCTAGCATTGATTTTGACAATCGAAAACTTGTTCGAACAAAACACAGAAAGCCTTCTCCGAAACAGGCACGTCTACGATAGTCAGTAATGTTATGACCTAATGCCATATTCTATTTTGCATGACCTTGAGAAAGTGAAATCCGATAACTTACCATGTAGACAACACCCTGAAAGACAACTTGAAAAATAAACTGTGCATCCAGAAGAGGATTAAGACTGCAGTGAACCAAAGTTTCATCTAAATCAAGGACTAAGCAGAACTCTGGAGAGGAGCGAGTTTTTTTCGGTAGCGCTGGTGGACGACAGATAATATCAGCAGGCAGTGGCGGGAGACTGCGTATAAAGGCATATCTGAAAACAGAAGTGCGGAATGAATTAAACTTTTGTAATATCATAATACAGAAGAATAAACTGTCATTAAAATAATTAAAGCCGTGGATGGTGTATAAATTTTAGCGAACCAGATAAAAATTTTACTGAATCTTAATATTCCCAGGAACTTACGAACAACTAAGAGTAGAACGACGATCTTAATAACTATGTACTTGGTAATGTAATAAAATGCAGCTGGTGCCCATAGTTGGAGAGATAAACCCGTGATGAATAGTGAAATGGGAAACTGAAGACTGGTTTATGCATTCCAGTGAACTTTTTTAGATAAGGTATAGGGTAAAACTTATACTGATGGAGTTAACATACATAATTGCACTTTTTATAGTTTTATTTGGATTTAAACGCTTTATCAAGTGTGTGGAAAATTAAAATAATCCACTACATTACCCTCTCTTATATCAACCGCTTAGCCGTTATCCCAATCTGAAAAGAAAAAGAAAGCAATTTTCTTAGAAGGGGGGAGAGTCGAGTAGTCAGCAAATAAATTAGCAGGCCTCTTAATTGCCTCCTAGTACTACGATCAACAGTGGGAAATCCGCCCTCTCGCTTTAAATGCTCTCGTACGGTCACATATAACCGATACCACAGAAGTCCCACTCAATGCCTACTCACCACCATAGTGCTGTTTACAGAAATGAGAGTATAAAAGCGAATGCCCGGTACTTAGATCGGATTGGTGAACAGAGTCCATCTAGAGGAGTTATAAAACCTGAATTTCAAACAAATGGTGCGCATAGGCTCCAGGGTGCTGATAGAAGAAACGGCGCATGAACTTATTATTGGTCAACGGGTACAATGGGATCGCAACTCTTGAGATTGCTCCACTGCCTTGTGGATTAGACCTCTAGGTTAAAGGCTCAAGGAGTGATTTCTTAAGAAAACCACCTGTTTCGAATTCCGCACCGGGACAGGTCACTCACAAATTCAATCATTTGTGTGGCGCATTATTATTTAGGTGCCCTTTTGTACTAATATTTATGTTTAAATACAATAAAATAAACCAAAGAACAGTCGAGAAAAATTCCAGAAAATCTTGTTGTACTTATGATATGCTTGAAACTATTACGAGTTCATCTTACTCGGTAAACGCAACAAAAACCAACGATGTAGTGACACAATAGGCTATTCTAATTCGATTGTCCTAGGCCCCACTATCTAGATCAAGAAATCTTGATAAGGCGTAGAGAATGTATTCTACAGACACCCAGAAAAGAAGAGGTTGCTAAGCCCTCAATTCAGGCTTATTTACACAGTGATAGAAACGCCCTTAAGAGAGCCACAAAACAGTCAAGGATTTTCTGAGATGGAAATTTAAGCTGAGGGTCAACTAAGCGTCTCTGGCGCGAAAGCATAGAAATTCAAAAGTTCAGAATAAAATTACAAAATTAGGACCTTTTCCAAGTGAGTTATGGCGATCTAACGCCTCCAACAACTTACGATTTAGGTTTACCAAAGTATCAATGGAGATTTTTTTCGGTCAAAGTACATCGTATTCATATGAAGTGTAACAGAAAACGATACCTAATGACTATGATTCTGAGCCGCCGGATAAGTACAGCTAAGAGAACGGAGTTCCACTAACACCTTAAGGAAACTAGTGTGATGTAAGCACGAGTGAGGTTGCTGACATAAAAGTGAGTGATGTTTGATCACAACAATTTAGGCTTTTAAAAGTAATTTTTCTATTGTTATAATCGTTAGTCTTTCGCAAAAAAAGTTAGTTTGATTGGTTTTAGTGAAGGCATTTTACATTCACTGGGTTGATAAGTGAGATCATTAGTGATCTAAAAATGTGGGAACTTACGCATCAACTTCTTCGAAATCCGCATCATCGCACTCCTCGATTGCAGAGATTTCTGTAGAAAGTTCTTGGGGAGGAGCGATGGAAGACGAAGAATCACTTGGTTCGCTTTCCTCGTCTGAATGTTGTGTAGTTTCGTTTGCGCCGCTAAATCCGACTTTACTGAATAAATGAGGCTCTATATTATCAAATGAATCGATTTGTTGATTTGAATTACTAATCAAATTTGAAGAAAATTGTTCAGTGCACTCAGTAAGCGCAACATTTGAGCTTGGTTTTATAGATAGGTAATTGTTTGCACTTATTCCCACAGATTCCGTTTTCGATGTACTCTGTAGCTCTGATAATACATGATCATTTTCTGAAACATCGTGAAGATTTTGGCAATTATGAAATAACTCTTGGTTAGCAATTTCAGAAGAGGAATCGGAAATACACAACGGTGAGGATAAATTTGAAGAGTCTCTGAAGCTATGGTGAATTACCATATGAGATGATTTATGAAGACAATCTAAAGGGACCTGAATATTTATATCACCCGACAACTGAAATGTAACAAAAATAGGTTTAATTATAGAGATAATGTTACATCAGTGAATTTCAGCCATCAACGAATAGAAACTCTAAGATGACATTAAGTTGAAAATTTGGGAGAATTAATTCAGTCACTTGTGGTGAATGTAGGCTCACCAGTTCTGTGGCGGTCGGTACTAAACATACTCCTGCTATACGAATGACTATTAAATAAGTTACTAAAAGGGCTTAACTAAATTGAACGTAAACAAACTAAAATGCATATGAGGTGCTACATACTAAAATCTTTCGACTGATTACAGATTGTAACGTGTGAATTTAGAAAGAGATTTTGGTAGCCGTTATGAAACTGTGAAAGTACAAAACAAATAAAGAAGGAAAAAATACACAATATTATAGATAAAAATGAGTACTTACATTCTGGTTAGTCATATTTTGAGATTCCGGGATAGGCGCTTTGTGGATTTGTCGCGCTCTTGGTTTTGTGACTAAAATGAAATGAATTGAAGTACCATCACTTTAATGAATAACGTCAACTACACACCTTAATGCACAGATATTTACCACAAACGACATAACAATGGAGTTAATACTCCTGAATAACTAAGTTGAAAACTTCACCTACTATATTCAAAAGCAAGATAAATAAATATTTCTCGGTCAGCAATTTGAATGAAATCACAAGCTGATCAGTTTTGGACCATCGTTAGAAAGTAATAGATGACCGTTTCGTCCTAGTATGGGACTCATCAGTAGTAACTATCAAAGACCACACGAGTTGGAATTGAAAAAATGTCAGTATAAGACTTTCAGTGACATCACAAAGTTTGATAGAAACCTTAAATCTAATCAAGAATGCGCAAACCACCAAAATACCATAACTTATTCATGTAGGCTCTTCATAAGAGGATATTTAGTTATCTAAATAGTATCAACACAACATGGAGTACTAACAAGAAGTCAGTTACGACGCAGAACCTCGTACGTGCATCAGTTCAAGTTGCCATACCACATTAGGACAGAGACAATCGTCAATTCAAAGCCCATAATAGTAGATGTAGAAGTGTTGACAGCAGTCACAGAGATTAGGGTTCGAAGCTTTTATTCAAGTAGGATCTAGTGAAATAAACTAAAAAGGCTTAAAAGGATTAACAAAGCAACAAACGTATGTAAGCCTATCTTCATTTTGTTTAGTTTTAATAGATAGACTGCCACTTGATCCCAGCATCAACACTCAATGCATGATGTAGATTTTACTGGAATAACACTCGTAACACACAACCAAAGTACGTGTTTAAAGATTGCGACGGTAGTCAAAATGCCGTCAATGAACCCGAACACAAGGCGAACCTCAAGATCCCTAGCAGATTACTACTAGATGCCAGAATTTCTTCGAAGACGAGGTAAAGTTTGAGAGAAATCATTCAGGAAATATAATCCAGTGAAATAAATTTAAAAATAGAAAGATAAATGTGACGAAGAAGCGATGTTAGGATTTGAAAGACAAAAAATGAATGCTTCTGCGCCATAGCAAATGATTTCGAGCTTTCATTCACCACTGTCTCGCGGACCCCGACCATGCCACAAGTCTACACCTACCAACATGGCAGGATCCACTTGTCAGTGACTTTATGACGACGCTCCTAGCTTTCTTGTAGACTACTCCGACACCACAAACATCGCTCATTGACAGTCGGTGATTAGGGGTTAGGAATATGAACTGTGATTTTCATCACGAAATAACACGAGCCATTATGTCAAGACTTCGGTATATAGACGAGTGAGTTTCGCGCCTAAGCTCACTAGTTATAATAATTAGTCTCCCCGATTTTGTTTACATGGACTTCCAACTGGAATATTTTTAACAAGTCTCATTTAGGTGCTGAGGTAGCCTATCTAGCTCTCTTTCCGAGGATACGACTGTGTGCGGTCTTTAGTCGCTTTTGTGCAATGAACACTAATAATCCCTTAAACTATTATGTAAAGGATATTGGGAACTTGTGACCTAACGGTCCGGAAAGCAAATGTAATCAATAAGTCAACTACCCTAATGAATCGTTTAAATTTTAAAAACCTGGAATAGCTTCTAGATTAGGTTTGGCTGACAACTAATCAAGTCATCAGGACAATCATTGGCAAAATACTTATTTGAACGCTCAAGAGGAAAATTAATCTTTCAACGGAAACTTACGTGATGGCAGCACTGTTGATTTGTGACAGGATTTTCGAAAAGTTACACATTTCTGGCGCTTTTTAATCCTAAGTGACGCTGTCTTAGGGTCTTTCCCTCTCAAGGAATAGCTTGATCCACTGAGGCATCTTTTAGCAGGCCAGCTATGAATCATGCGGAGCATAGCAGTGTATATGTTACTTTGTCGGGTTTGAGTATTATTAAAGCAGTATGCAGCTGGTAAAGATCGCCTTTTACAGTATGTAGTAATAGATTCAGTTGATAAGCCAGTACGCTTTATAAAATAAATTGAATTAACTCCACGCCAGTTGTCTCGTCAGTAGTCAATGCAAAGTATCACATTTCAAACACTAAATCCAACCAAATGATGAGTATTTAAGTTGAGTTAGTTTCAAGTTCAGTTTACAACCATATTTGCGACTGACAATAAAATAAAATCCAAATGCACCAGTCGGGAGGTTTGAAAATTGGCCAATAACATTAAAACACTTATTAAAACAAATATAACCTTTCGAGGAGGAGAACTTTGAAGGTGACTTAAAGACTAGGTAGAAAAGAGCAAAATCTTACGTGGCAATAAAACAAAAATTCACGCGCCGACTGCATTATAAAATTCCGTAGCTGTGTGTATCTTGATTTGTTGTCCTGACCTAAGATACACCAAATAGCCATCTATTTACCGTAGGCAGGTACTACTTCTCAGGATCATCTGGGGACGGGCATGGACTCGCTAGAGGAAGTGCCACAAATTAAAAGGAAGAGGATAGCCTAAGATTCCTGTTTAATTACTAATGAAATTAGTATAAATGATGATATAAAGGCAGTCCAACCAAACACCTTCATGCAATTAAGACAGGAAAGGCTGGTCGAAATAGTGACCTAATACTGAACGGTATCTCTCTCAATTTGGTCCATCCTGCATAAACCATATTGTAAGCTCATCCATCTCTCATACTTTATCTGAACAACCATGTAAGATGACTGACGAACGAAAATCCCTGAAGTGGGAAGGCTTTTAGACGATAAACGCTCCATTACAATAAATTTCAGGACAACTTGATTTTAATTGACCGACCAATTTCAGCTAGTAATAAACTACAAACTCGGCGTTGTGTAGTGTGGTATTGTAAATAAGTACTCAACTCCCTGACACAGCATGAAATCTTATTTCCCAGGATTAGCCACCTGTATGTTTCGTTGCGGGATACAAAATGCGAAGGTTATAGCTACCTGTTTTCTGTACTCTTAAAGTCATCTGTAGCCCCTGCCTTTCTAAACAGCTTGCAGCGGTAAGTAGTTCCATGAAATAAATGTTTCTTTAAGTCCTCAGCTGTAACTTAAACTTCCTAATTTTCATTGCATGCACCCTATCTGAAAGAGCAATCACACCAGATAAATGCTAGATTCGCCCTGCTGCGTATCCTTTTGTGATAAATAGCTTAGATCACTCACCATCCTTCAGATACACTTTCGGTTTTTTGGGGTATTCGTATTCTCGGATGAAAAGGTAGTACGGACAAAGGAGTAATCAAATCCTGAAAACCCATGAAATCTTCAAGTTCATATCTCCAAATTTTCTGGTGGTCTATGGAATCGAGAAATTTATTAACGGTGTCTTGTCAGCTGTAAATGCGATGTTTCTAGTCTCTGCATTTATTGAAATTTAAAACTTTTAACACCTTTAAGTGAAAAGATATTAGAACTCAGCCTATCTGAAGACGTATCCCAATTTACTAATTGACGACCAAACAGAAAATCTGTGATGGGCGGTTGGAATTTTGGTTGCTCGGGGCCTGAGTGCAATTTGCACGAAAAAATGAAGATGCCATGAAATAAACTTTCCTTTTTAATTCCCTATATAAAATAAAGGTTGACGTTGTTTGCGTGATGTCAGTAATAAGAAGCCAAATACCAATTGAGTTGAGTTAGTTTATTTCAGGCAATCGTTCAAGCAGACAGACATGAGGATAAAAAGTGAAAATGCAAAATGAAGCGAAATGAAGTGGAGAAGGCTAGTGGGCCGACTCGATATGATGAGGAATGACTTATTACTTTCAGTCGGACAACAGATACCTCTCTTACTCCACTTTGTTAGGAAACAAAGCCTGAATATCTACCTAGTACAACCATGTTGTTGGATTTCGATATGTATACAATGAGGGTATACGCAAATACTGTGCAATAGTGATCTTTCATGCTAATATGCCAAATCGATTATTTTTAATCATGAAAGAAACCTTCTAACAGATCAATATATATATAAACTATTACTATATTTTTAGGATCATTTCCAAAGCCGATATAATATAAAGCCATACAATGAAAATAGAAGGTGCGCCCGTGTTCTTCAGACCTAAAACTAGCACTTGATGCGTTTAAAATACTTAGGGCTGAACTTGATTACATGCTATAGTCATGTAAACCAAGACTGAGTATCTCCTCTAAACTTGGTCCCAAAGTCAAACAAGTTTACTGTAGACCGTGTGACCAATACAGATCCCGTAATCGTCAAGCCATAGTAGAAAGATAACCAATACAGAATACACAAGATTTTACAAACGGGTTTAAGGGCATGAATAGTGTATTAATACTGGCACAGCCGGAGAATTTCACGATATTCCATTAGTTGAAGAAGATATTTCTAAGAGCATAATTACTATCTATATTGGAATGTTCGAGTCATTATACTTGCAAATGGGCCTTGGGAATGATGAGCATGCATTTCAAAGGATTATGGATAGTCTACCCAGAGAAATTCCTCTTCCCCAACGATATATAATCTTTTTATTAATCCTCAGTCCGGACCTATCATCACATTAACAACACGTGAGAGCTATTATAGCGAAGTTAGATGAAAAAAGAATGACCTTACATCAAAGTTTTTGTAGTCCATACTTTAGAATTTCTTGGAAAAGAGCACATCAATGAAAAAGGAGGCAGAGACCACTAAGAAATGAACCATGACAAATTCTTTAACACAACTTGGATGTTTTCTTACTTACTGTTACCCCAAATGGAGCATAGGCCACCCACCAGTTTTCTCCAACCAACTCTGTCCTGGGCTTCCCTTTCTAGTTCTGTCCAATTTTTGTTTATTCCTCTCATATCTTCCTCTATTTCTCGGCGCAGTGTTCCTTGGTCTTCCTCTTTTCCTTTTGCCATGAGGGTTCCATGTGAGGGCTTGTCTCGTGATGCAGTTAGGTGCTTTTCGTAGTTTGTGTCCTATCCACTTCCACCACTTCTTCCTGATTTCCTCCTACACTGGAATCCGATTCGTTCTCTCCCACAGTACATTGTTGCTGATGGTGTCTGGCCAACGAATAAGAAGTATTTTGCGTAGACAACTGTTAATAAACACTTGGGTCTTCTAGATGATGGCTTTGGTAGTTCTCCAAGTTTCCTCTCCATACAGTAGAACTGTCTTGACATTTGTATTGAAAATCCTGATTTTGGATTTGTTGAAAGTTGTTTGGAGTTCCAGATACTTTTCAACTGTAGAAATGCAGCCCTCGCTTTGACAATCCGCGCCCTCACATCTGCATCCGATCCACCTTGATTGTCGATGATGCTGCCAAGATATGTAAAGGTGTTAGCGTCCCCCAAGGAATCTCCATCAAGAGTGATTTGTTTGGTGCATGTTGTGTTGCATCGGAGAATTTTGCTTTTTCCTTTATGTATGTTGAGACCTACTGTTGCAGAGGCTGCTGCTACACTGGTCGTCTTCCCTAGCATTTGTTCTTGAGTGTGCGATAGAAGAGCCAGATCATCTGCGAAGTCCAGATCGTCCAGCTGCGTCCTAACTGTCCAGTTGATACCGTGCTTCCCTCCAGACGTTGACGTTTTCATAATCCAGTCCATGACCAGGAGAAAGAGAAAGGGTGAGAGTAAGCAACCTTGCCTGACACCGGTCTTCACTTCGAAAGAGTTTGTCAGCTGACCTCCGTGCACGATTTTGCAGTTGAATCCATCATAAGAATTCCGTATGATGTTAACTATTTTCTCAGGCACACCGTAGTGTCGAAGAAGCCTCCACAGTGTTTTCCTATCCACGCTATCAAATGCTTTCTCGTAGTCGATGAAGTTGATGTAGAGTGGTGAGTTCCATTCAATTGATTGTTCCACAATGATCCGTAATGTAGCGATTTGGTGAGTACACGATCGATCCTTACGAAATCCGGCCTGTTGATCTCGAAGTTGGGCGTCTACGAAGTCCTTCATTCTGTTTAACAATACCCTGTTGAAGACTTTGCATGGTATTGAAAAAAGAGTGATGCCTCTGTAGTTCTCACACTTGCTGAGATCGCCTTTCTTTGGTATTTTGATGAGGTATCCTTCTTTCCAATCTGATGGTACTTGTTCCTCATCCCAAATCTTCTTGAAGAGGATGTGAAATATTTTCGCAGTTGCTTCTACATCTGCTTTCATTGCCTCTGCTGGAATGTTGTCTGGTCCTGCTGCTTTGCCGTTCTTGATTTGTCTGATGGCCATACTGATCTCCTCAATTGCAGGTGCGCCAACATTAATTGGGAGGTCCGTGGATGCTGCTTCGATGTTGGGTGTGTTCAGTGGAGCTTGTCGATTCAATAGTTCCTTAAAATGCTCTACCCACCTATTTCGCTGTTGTTCAGTGTTGCTGATTACTTTGCCTTCCTTACTTTTCACTGGTCGTTCTGGTTTACGATAGTTTCGGGCCAGCTTCTTTGTTGTTTCGTACAATTGTCTCAAGTTTCCGTCTCTTGCAGCCTTTTCCGCCGTCATTGCTAGATCTTCCACATATTTGCGTTTGTCAGCTCTGATGCTCTTCTTCACTTCCCTGTTTGCTTCTGTGTATTCAGCTTGTGCGGTAACTTCCTCTGCTCTTGTTCGGCTGACGTTGATTGCTGCCTTCTTGTTCCTCCTTTCTTCAGTTTTTGCAAGAGTATCAACAGAGATCCATTCCTTGTGGTGGTACATCTTGTGACCCAGAACCTCCTGACGTGTTTAAGTGATTGCCTCTTTGACCCTTTTCCAATTGTTCTTCAAGGTTGTGTCCTCTCCATTGAGTAGATCGTGCAAGTCCTGGAACCTATTGGTGAGGGCTATCTTGAATCCGTTGAGCTTTACGGCATCCCGAAGAAAGGCTGTATTAAACTTCTGTGATGTTGTCCCCGTTATCCAGTGTTTCTTTAATTTCAATTTTATTTTGGCGACCAGCAAATGGTGATCTGAAGCTATATCAGCTCCTCTCTTGGTTCTCACATCCTCCATGGTCCTTCTGAACGTTTTGTTGATACAGATATGGTCAATTTGGTTTTGAGTAGTGTGGTCCGGTGAAATCCATGCAGCACTCACTGTGTATGCATTTGTGTAGACATTTTGTGCCCTCGGTGACCCATAGTTAGAAGGCACATAGGTTTGCAAATCTCTCACCATTTTCGTTCCTTTCTCCCAGTCCATGTCGTCCCATGATGTCTTCATATCCAGTGTTG